AGACTCGGGCAAGATTTCTTTGGACGTTGCCGGTGTTGGCGATGGCAAGGTTGAGGTCGGCAGTGATACTCTCAAGATTGAGTTCCGAAAGAGAATCGAGAATACGAGAGAATTCACCCCCAACGTCATTGAGCCTTCATTCGGTATCGGTCGTATTCTGTACTCTCTGATTGAGCACAACTTCTGGACTCGTGGCAGTGACGGTGGAGATGAAGCCCGTGGCGTGCGTTGCCCCAAACCCCAACTATACTACGAATCACATATCATTACGAGATGCTAACTGAGCTGAACAATAGGTCCTTTCATTCCCTCCCACAGTGGCTCCTACTAAAGTCCTTATCGTTCCTCTATCGAACAACGTCCAGTTCCGCCCCATTATCAAGAAGCTCTCTCAACAACTCCGACTTGCCGGTATCTCTAGTCGCATCGATGACTCGTCAGCCAGTATTGGTAAGCGATATAGCCGAAATGACGAGCTTGGTACTCCCCTCGGCATCACTGTCGACTTCCAGACCCTCCAGGACGATACCATTACACTGAGAGACCGCGACTCCACAGCTCAGGTCCGAGCTGAAGAATCCAAAATCTTGGATGCTATCAAAGCTCTTGTTGACGGCTCAAAGAACTGGGAGAAGGTGGCTTCTGAGCTGCCCAAGTTTGAGGGCCAGGAGGTGGAAGTTGCCGTCCGCTAAAACGAAAGGCAAAGTTGCACTCGTGAAGATGATAAATAAGCCGGTGTGATGAACGGGAATGTAGGCCGGTCGTGTGAATGGGAATATACGCAGGTTTATATTTACTTGCCGTTCTGAGCGAACGTAGAACCGCGTGGCATATAGCTTGTTTTAGAGTCAATCTAGATGCTGGCTTCATAAACGAGGCTCATATGAATATCTAGTCATTCAATTATCGTACAATCGGCAGCACTACATCACGTCCGGAATCTATGGCCAATTCTTTCCTGGACTCTGATTCGGCCAATATCCGGGGGGGCAGGGCGTATTTTGGGTCATATTACAATTACAATTAGAGGGTGGAGGGAGAGATAACCAGCAGCGTTCCCAAAATATCAAGCATCCCCTAACTATTGAATTAATACCTAAATATATAGGTAAGGTAGCGGTGGGCGCTATTTGTGTAGTAACCTCCGCACTCTATAATTTAAAGGGGCTTGTAATAAGAAGAGTGTGGGTTCTACCCCTTGCAACTGCGTGTAAATACATACTGGATGTGTGTGTTTGGATGCCTCGATATTGATTATCTCCGTGTGTGTGTCCATCCATGTATGTCATCATTATGGAGCTCGAGTCAGGGGTCGAAATACAACGGTACAGGCCCTCAACTACTCCCGTAGCTATTGTGGGAAACTCGGATGAGGACGGTGGACCGAATGACGGCGATCTGCAACGAGCCCGGTGGACGGTGGGCACTAGCAAAGCGGTCGTGCGGGAGTTCAATAGCAGGGCTGTGAGGAGGCAGATGACTCTCTGGTGGTGTTTTGTTAATGGAGCATTTCTTGCATTGAAATTTTGTTACTGCCAAGATGACAAGATGGCTTTCCGACTTGCCGGTTACAGAATTTGTTTGTTCGTTTGAGGTAGCATCTGTAGAGATCGCCCACCACGACGGAAGCCAAGGTGGCTGGGACCTGTTTCTCAAACTTGGGTCAGTCGCAATGAAACAAACAGCAACCGACTCGTATCTTTTACGTGACTTTTTCATCTAATTAATATGAGGGAGATTAGTCACTTTTTGAACAGGCCTGAATTTGTACAGAAGTGACCGGCCCAGTCGGATGGTTGGCTCGGGCAACCAAATGATGGACGTGGGGTGCTTCTAAGAAGCACCCAAATGTATGTATGGTAGGGTAGATTTGTCAATCGACAAGCACACACTGGTATAACCCAGTAGGAGTAGAGCAAACCTTGCAGGACTCCCATGGCACGCGATATCGGTGAGGCATCTGACATAGTCAAATACCAGTCGCTCCCCCCGGACAGATTGATTGAGGAGGGGGGGCCATGTTGACCCGCAGGACAGATGGTGGAATGTTTGAGAAAACACGAGCTTTTGACAGGCGTCGTGTTCCTAGAGAGCCTCAGGACATGCTTATTCAGTGTTTTGCTAGTTGCTAGTAGTTCTTTTTGAGTTTCAACGACAAGTAAAACAAATTGCTAATGTCTGGTGGCAACTGAGACGATTGGCTTGACAGAAAGGTGGGAAAGGGAAAATAAGAGGGTGTTTCATCTTGCCGGCCCCTGATTGATGAGTGCGACAAAGGCGTAACAACAGATTTCAGGGGCCCAGGACCTTTCCAAATTCAATACAGCGGATATAGAGTATGATTTCTCGAATTCAATGAGGAGTAGGGAGGCACGCCAAAGATGCAATACGGCGAAACTGCTGTGGCTTGAATAAGACGCCCGTGAACAGCCGCTACCTCGGTCCGATGCTGAGGAAGCAGGCAGGAGGACGTAATAGGGAGCAGCGTTAAAATAGCGTCAAGTCAAGCCGTTGCAGAGTGAATCGAGTCCCGAAACTGACGTCGGCATTGCCCGCATTGCCTGCAGACGAGCGAATGGACGATAAGACAGGTTCGTTTGCGGTTTGACCAGGGTCGACAAGGTAAATCCTGTGTCTGGAGCATCTGGAAGCGCTCCGCCTGCAAATTTGACAAAAGAATGTTGCAAGCAGACGTAAAGCTGAGTCGTCCTGAAGCGACCCAGCGATTTCCATCTCCCCTCCCCCACTTCGAATGTCACTGGCTGGCAGTGGTTGCCTACCCCAGCTCTGGTGCGGCTCTTGGCCACCTCGTCATGTTGGTTCTTGCCCGTTGCCGCTGGTCCCTGCTGCCGTTCGCCCAGCATTAGAGAGGGGCTAGGCGGCCCAACCATGTTCTGAATCTTTGTCCAGTGGCAAGTGTGCCATGCGCCAGCCAACAGCGTTGGCCACAAACTGGCGGGTGGTGCCTTCCCTGACACTCGCATCAATTCATCTCCACACCTTGCCAAGACGAGTAAGTTGTCTGGTGATGGCTGCACCGTTCGTTGCTTGCTCAAGTGAGCATCAATCGATGCCTGCTAGGTACTTTAGTACCTAGTAGGTCCTTGGTCGGCGTTTGCAGGTTGGCGACTGAGAAAATGGCATCTGACTAATTTAAACAAGAACAAGTGAGCACAGCTTGATATTACTACTTACTTAAGTAGTACTACTGCAAATTCAATACCCTGTGCTCTCGGTCCTTGGGGTAGACGATTCTCAGACACGCAGGGAATCTGTACTTTTAGCATAAAGTACGGAGTACGGAGTTAGTACGTACGTACTTGGCAACTTGGCTACTGGATGCATGCAGATGGCAGATGCAAGACTCTGTGCTCCGTGCTCCGTGCTCCATGCTCCATGCTCCATGCTCCGTACAGTTCGTTCGAGCCAACCCACCATGTTCCTGGCCGACAAAAGATCTCGTACGGCCTCAATGCCCGACTCTGACGCCTCAGATGCCCAGCCCCTGTTGACGCCGCCCTCGTGCTTGTATAATGTGCCTGGTGTCAAGTAATGATACAAAGAGGCTAGCCAGTAGTAACACATATGAAGCCCTGGCTCAGCGCCAATCCAACACAGCCCACATGCCCTCTCTCGCCAGCACCGCCCAATCTGCGATTGATTGCGCGAAACGCAGCCCACCTCTAGTTTCGGTGGTGTCGACTTGGTGTCGGCGCTCGATTGCACATACCAACTACTACTCCGTAGGTAGGTGCACATGTAGGTACCCATGTGCTGTGTAGCATCTCCGCCTCTGGATATGTCCTCCGTGCTGTGCTCATCATAGTCGCAGCCCGTGCTCCGCCCATCTCCATTTCTGCCCATCCCTCCTTGCCTCGTCGTCTTTGGCTGCAGACCTCCCTCCTCCAACACTTTCATGCTTCAAGTCGCTTCTCCGGCTTCCGACCGCTTTATACCGTCGACGCTCTCACTGTCTGTTTGCCGGCGACTCTGTCTTGGTTCTCATTCGTTTTCTCCTCTTTCTTTTTTTTTTTATTTTGGAAAAGGCCCGTGGTTATTTTGGCTGTCGCCTGCAATCAAAACGAATATCCCGCTTCCCCTCCCTCCTCTTGGAATCAATACCCAACGACCCTGGCACTTGACCGCTGCTCCTGAGCCAGAGAGGCCAGAGAGGCCAGACGCGCCAGAACAATCAGTAGCCCCCAGGTTCATGCGCCGGCGCCCCTCTTTCGTCTCGACTTCACCACAACGTCAGCAACAGTCGCCCCAGACTGCGGTAGCGATTCAGAGGCAGGCGGCCTGGTTCTAACTTTGTCTCGTTTCTGTCTCCAGTCGCTTCTTTATTTATCACGTTGTACCCTGCAAGTATCAATTGCGCCCTGGCCCAACTCCCTTCTGCGCTCTGCCTGTATCTGTATCTGTATCTGCTTGGCTAGACGTTGAACGGCAGTCCCAGGGGCTCTGGGCATTCGAAACGGACGAAACCGGCGGCATCACATTGCATATCATAGATCGACGTCGGCGCGTTTTATTTTTGCAGCCATGGCACAAAACGGGTACGTAGATGTCGTTTCGGTTGTCGTCTCCCCGATCCCTCAGCTGCATTCAACCCGTAATACAGAGCCAACCACTTGTCACCACATCCACTACTATTCATAAGGCCCTTAAGACCCTGCAGGGAGAAGAAACAAAAAGAAGTGCTGCCCCGTTCATGAGTGACTTTCCGGTGTCTGTAAACTGGCCTTGGCTCGTACGGGATTTCACTATCGGGCTCTGCGGGCAAGGAACTTGATTCAATGGTCACCCATTGAATCATTGCCTCGCTCCGTCAGAGTTCGTTTGGCTTTACTTTACTGAGCAACCTTATGATATCAATTTCGAGCTGACAAGGTCTTAGCCTCTATTCCGCCAGCCAGTTCATGAACCCTGGCCCGGCTCCCAAACCACCTACAGACAGACCTCGACTTGCCTTAACACCCAGTGCCAATCTACCCGGCAACATGGCGAACATGGCCATTTCACCTATTCGAAGTACCGCCACATCGACGTACACCGGCTCTACCATCTCCTTGCCCATCGCTCGCCAGCAGTCTAATAACATGGATGGTATGGGGGGAGTTGCTGTCAAGAAAGAAGGATGGGCATCGGTCAAGGAGAGCAAGAACTTTATCCAACCTTGGAAACAAAAGTATTTGATCCTTCGAAAGGAGTCTCTCGACTTCCACAAAACTGAAGGAGGCAAAGTGTCTTATACCCTATATCTAAAAGATGTTGTTAATGTTGGCAGGGTTGAGGCTGCTGGTACCATTTTTGAAATCAAAAGAAAGCCCGATGGCGCTTCGAACAGCCCGGGTGACGACGATGGCCAAACAAAGACCCTACATATCAAAGTCAAGGGAGATGATGAACTCTATGAGTGGATTGACTTCATCTACGGCGCGTGCCCTGGCATGGGTGGCGTGAGCAACCCGACCAACTTTTCTCACGCAGTTCATGTTGGGTTTGACCCCCAAACCGGCGAATTTGTCGGTTTGCCGCCTGAATGGTCGAAACTACTCAATTCATCCGCAATCACGAAGGAAGATTATGAGCGCAATCCCCAGGCTGTATTTGAAGTACTAGACTTCTATACCGATCTTGCGAAGAGAGCCGAAAATCCCAACCAGTATTCTAGCATGACTCCTACTCCTCCAGGGGGCATGCAACAAAAACAAATCGGGGCCGCGGCCGGGGCAGGTATCGCTCCTCCTCGTCCGGCCCCTCCGACACCAACGCAGCGAAACATGAGTTATGGTACTACACCTCCCCAATCTAGCAACGGCCAGCAAAGACGCCCTACTCTCGGGGACCAGCAGCAACAGCGTCAGCAAATGCAGAACATGGCTCCCAATTATGTATCTCAGGACGCCCTCAGAGAGGAGCAGCGTAGGAAGCAAATGGAAGCCCAGCGCCAGCGTGAGGCTGAAGACCGAGAACGCCGGGACATCGAGGCTTACAATGCATCCCTTCCTAAGAACAAGGTGCCCCTCGCCCAGCAAGAGATTGGTGGTTATGGTGGTACTTCTGGAGGCTCACCACATGGCGATCGATTCAACCCTACTAGAGCCGCTCCCCCAGCGCCGAAGCTATCAGGGAGCCCAGCAAATGGTATGCGTGCTCAGAGACCAGCTCCTCCCCCACCATCATCTACTTCCTCGCCTCGCCCTCCCCAAGCAGCTCAAGCAAGCTCCTCTCGCGACCCTACCGGTCAATCCTCCAGAATCCCCCGCAACGACGGTTCGCCAGCATCTAGAAATCCAAATGGTACTCAGTCTCAGCCAAGACAACCGCAGCCGGCGCAAGGTGTGTCACGCTTGCCAGCTCCTGTCAAGCCGCTGAACGTGGCACCTAAGCCCAGCCAGGCTCACCCAGCGGAGGGAATCAAGGCTGCCGAAGCAGCCCTCACCGCCAAGCCCTCACCGTCGGAGCGCAAGCAAGACGTACGCATGTCGACAATGTCGGAAAATGAGGTCATGGCCAAACTCAAGGAAGCTGTGTCAAAGGATGACCCCAACATGTCATACTCTAAACAGAAGAAGATTGGTCAAGGGGCTTCTGGCTCCGTGTATGTGGCCAAAATCAAGGAGACTGCTCAGGGTGTTGCCCGAGAGGTCCTGCGGCAACAGGGTGCCCGAGCACAAGTCGCCATTAAGCAGATGGATCTTGCCCATCAGCCAAGAAAGGAACTGATTGTAAACGAAATCATGGTCATGAAGGACAGTCGGCACAGAAATATTGTCAACTTTCTAGATGCTTTCCTACGAAACAGCAATCAGGAACTTTGGGTTGTTATGGAGTATATGGAAGGTGGTGCTCTGACGGACGTCATTGACAACAACCCATCCATTTCTGAAGAGCAGATTTCGACCATTTGTAATGAAGTAAGTTATGTTCCTTGTGACTCGCCCACAAAGAAAACAAGCCACAGGCTTGCTAACATTTCATTTTTAAGACCTGCCACGGATTACAACACCTTCATTCTCAAAGCATTATCCACCGAGATATCAAAAGTGACAATGTTCTGCTGGATGCTCGGGGAAATGTTAAAATCAGTTAGTTTGCTTTTTTGAAGTATGAAAAAAAAAAGGCAGAATGCTAACCTTACAACAGCTGATTTTGGATTTTGCGCCAAGCTCACAGAGACCAAGTCGAAGCGAGCCACCATGGTTGGAACACCATACTGGATGGCGCCAGAAGTTGTCAAGCAGAAGGAATATGGCCCCAAAGTCGATATTTGGTCATTGGGCATCATGGCCATTGAAATGATCGAATCTGAACCGCCATATCTCAACGAGGAGCCTTTGAAGGCTCTATATTTGATCGCCACTAACGGAACCCCTCGCCTCAAGAAGCCCGAAAAGTTGAGCAAGGAGCTCAAGGCATTCCTCTCAGTCTGTCTTTGCGTAGACGTCAAAAGCCGTGCTTCGGCTGATGAGCTGCTGGCACATGACTTTCTGAAATACGGGTGCCCACTGGGCAGCTTAGCAGAGCTCTTGGCGTTTAAGAAGCATGCGAAATAAACAGTACTATCTTTCTAGGTGCATCAAATTTGGCCCTTTACCAAACAGGACACCGCACATTTTAAGGATCGATTTGGCTAAATTCGGAATGACATGCATACCGGTTTAGCAAGAATGACGTGAATATTTCGGCGTTTGGGTTGGGATTCAGAGACAACCGTATCTGCCTCTTGAGCAAGCGTCTGACAAGTTTGGTGCTTGAGGGATCTGTGACTGAGAAAGGATTGTGGTTTTGGTCACATGGGTTTAGATTCAGGACGTTCCTGTACTGGGAGCTCTGTAAGAGGAGAGGCAGACATATAGTGGTGGTTTAGAGGGAGTTTGTTGAAGTTGCAGCTACAGTGGCGACTTGCATATTTATGGACTCTCAACCAGCCTGGAGATACATATTAATACTAAATAGAGGATGTGGTCATGCAATAGGATACATCATTTATGCAAAGTGTATTCCCCGGCTCTTTTCACATTTGACACAGGTGAAATGCAGTATATGAGTCATTGCTGACAAAATCCCTGGGCTGTCAAAGACAGGACATCAGGCAAATACAAGAAGAATACTGGGTAGGTGTCTCGGCGGGTTTCCCATCTCGCATCTCAAGGCACAAAGGGAGGCTCACGTGTGTGTTTCAGCATCACTTGTTTGGCAGATCTTGGATCGCCCCAAGGAATGCAGCCCGCGATTGGTGTGCTTGACGATGAGCCGCTATCAGGTTGACAGGTCAGCGGGTGTACACTACGGAGTATTCTGTTGAAGGATCTACGATTGGATATTATTATCACGCAAGTCTTTATCCGGGCAGGAAGCTCCGCTTCACGTTCATTCCTATGTACCTACCCTGAGTCGGGAATGAAGTGCATGCGTGCCTACCTGGTAGATATCTGAGCATGGCCCGGAAGTCGCGAACAGGAAGCTGCGTGTTCGAGATGATGATGTTCGTTGAATGCTACATGTAGGGCCACCTACCTACTTCGACGTACCTAGGTTGGTACCTCTTGCACCTTCATGCACCTAGACATGTATGTATCATGGCCAGGGGCTGAAGGTGGGGAGGGGGGTCTCTGGGTGCGGGTACCAGACGTGATGTGGAGCCGGAGGGAAGGCGAAGGGGATCAGGGCAGCCACACCAATTGGCAATTGGCTTGGTGGACGACGTTTTATACGTTGACCTTTTTACTCCCGTACTCCCATGTGGCCCTCGAGTTGATGATGCGCCAATGGCATTCATGGCCTGTCCCCTGAAATAATGCCCGACTGAGTTAGCCAAGACGGGCGAGGGGGGAAAAGGGGGGTGACGGGCAACGCAAGAGGTGTGCCTGGCCGGGGTTTTGTATTGAGACGCCTGGCTGGCCACAATCATCAGGGCCGCTGCCCCCCTGGCAGATTCACGTTAATCATACAATGTATGCCGAGAGGTCTGGACGGGAGAGATGATGTGCAGGCGGAAGAGGGAGGCTAACATATCGCGTTCCGCGGACGGCATGGTTTGCGTGCGATGATGCAACACCATACGGGTAAGGAGGCTTTACCCTTCCTTGTACCCTCTTGATGACGCATCAGAGAAATTGGTTGACGATTCGAGAAGATATCTGATGACCCAAGAAGCGGATGGGCTGTGAATCGTCATTGGGCATGATCCGTCTTACAGAGTACACCTTTTTTTTTGGACATTTATCATTTACTAGGGGCAGGGCTGTCTGTCAAATGTAGCCGGAACAAAGGGGGCGTGCAAGGACTAGAACCACGAGGTTTTACGCTACGCTTCAACAGTTTGTTCGTTGTGAACAGCCGCCTATGTATCTATATTGGGAGAAACAATATGGACGGCGTGGTCTGGATACTCACTGGAGGCAGACTGCGTCTTGGGCGTTGTGCACGGATAGCGGGACGAATTACATGCATAAAGCTGGGCTTCGTATCTCCCGTATGCACAGCCGTTTATATTACAGCTTGAGCAAACTTGGGTCTAGGTCCAGGTAAGCCGACGCCAACAATTTAGTAATACTACTCCGTACTTGGCACACACAGCGGGATGTGACAGTAGAACATGCAGAGCCAACGGCGGACTGACGTTGGATTTGCAGGCAAAGGCGTGCAGGGCCTCTTGTGGCTAGACGCTCGTAAGCAGGGTGCGAGAAGAGACGAAGGCGCGTGGCGGTCGGGATGCGGACATGGGATGTCGTCGAGTTGAATGCATAGTAGTGCCTGACATTTTAACTGCCCTCACTCTCTGATAGATGAGATACAGAGTGGTTGGTCCATACATAAGCCCTGTGATGGCGTTTTGTTTCAGTATCAGAGAATAATGCGAGGCTCGTCTTTTAACTGGCTGCCAGGTACTCCGTTGTATGCTCCCTTGACTTGAGGGCGGGTTGTCGTGCGGTGTCGTGGCAAGGTTACACGGGCTGCATCACTATTCATTTACTATAACTCAAGTAAGTAAGTATCATATCACAAAAGATTTTATGGGGTGTTTTTTTAATTGGATGATACATGTCAAGCGGAATCGTTGGCGGAGGCTCGAGGTTTGCGAAGAGACGATTTTGAACGCCCACATGGCAGTTGCGTCAAAAGTCTCGGGTGTCAACCAGACTCTTGCGTGGTAGAGAGCAGCAATCCGAGAGCACAATTGAAGCCATTGGCCCTCCACGCTGATCCAGATCAGCGCTCGCGTCGCTTGAGGCTGTAAGGATACAATATGCGGAAGCCTCAGCATTCGGGCCGGGACATTTGAAGCCTCAAGTGGTCCAATGCTGGCCGATCAAGGTGGTCTCAGGTGCTCAAGTGCTGGTACTTGAGGAACCCTTGAGACCGCGATGCCGCGTAATTCACTGTACCACAGTGTGCTAGACCACCAGACAATTGATGTGCAGGCTCCCCCAGCCAGCGCTGAGGTCCAGTCAACGCTCCGCCAGCCCGACAGATGCTGCACCCACAGCGGCGCTCCTGACTCTTGCATCCGTGCGTGCTCTGAGCCCCAGCCAGCACATGAGTTGACGTTGACCTGGCCTGTTACAGAGTTCCCATGTGCCAGCTGGCTCGTTGGGTGGCCCATTACTCGGTAGCTAGCCAGTGAAGCAGCACCAAGCTGGATGGGAGCCCCATGCGTCCTCCTCCCTCCACGTCCTGTCAATTCAACCGCCCACGAAACCCGCTCCCATCATCATCACCATCAGCCTCAGTGCTCTTTTTTTCTCTTTCCACTCTCTCTCCTCCATCCTCCATCCCTTCTTCCTCCGACCCCCAGCCCCCCCCGTCTTCCCCAAATGAGGCTTTGTATATTGATCGTTTTTTAACTTTATTTCTGCCTCGCTTTCTTCCCCCTAGTGGCACTTCTCGCCGAGACCAGCACTCCGGACCGACGTCGTGGCTGCGGCCAGCCCCCGTGTACAATCGCATCTTTGGCTTCATTGACAAAGGTGTGCTGCAGCTATTGTCGCCGCTTCTACAGCTGTTGCCTGCCGCCCGACGCCCGACGCCCGACACTGCCGTTCGCCAAAGACGCAATCCCAATTCTTTTTTGGCCCCGGCATCCCTTGCTGCGTGTCCACCACCGGTCGTCTCGGTCCCCTCAGCAAAAATCCCCGCGAGTCTCCTTCGGCCAGTTTGTTGTCACAGTACCGTCTTGTAATAGCTGGCTACTGGACCACCTGGTGTTTTCTATTTTCTTGTGCGCCTTTCCACTCCCTTCAAGACTTTTGCCTGCTTCGTCAGCTGTCAACTCCTTGATCCTTCCATTTCGAACACGAACACGACTTTCTTCACACGCCTGCGGCCGTTGCCCTAATCGCATCCCATAGTTCATACGACATCCGACGCATTTCAAACAAAGAACATTAATTATATCCATCTCACCTAAAGGCTGCTCATTGTACCTCATTGTCATGAGGCCAACTAGGTAATTGATAATGTCAATGTCCAGATCAGATCATATGCCACCAGGTTTTTCGTCCCACCACTCCACTTCTCAGGCTGGTCGATCTCAGTCACCTGGCAGTGGTAACTCCCCAGTCGATCCGTCTGCTTCTGCTGGAAGATCTCCTTTTGGCCTTTCGAGCGGCATAATGGCGGGTAATGCGCGCTCCGGGGCCGGTTCTCCGTCGCACGACTTGGCTGGGTCCAGCCGGCTCTTTTCCAAAAGGTTGGTGGTAGTGGCCACGCTCCATGTGCGCAAAGCGAAGCTTTGCAACGCGTAACTACGGTCCCTTTTTTTCGGGTCGTTTTACGCTCTTTTCAGTGAACCTGTGCTAATCAACTTGCTTCCACAACCAGAGCTCGCGAAATCCAAGCCCAAGAAGGCATCCCAGGTCTGCCACTCAACCCATGGGGTGGCCCTCCTACAAGCGGAAATTCGACTCCTCTTCGCGAGAACATTCCTGAGTCTCCCACCGACGGCTTTCCTGACTTTGGCCACCTTCCGACTCCCGAAAGTATGCCTCACACTGGCAGAGCTCGGGCCGGCACAGTTCCTTCTCGATTGCCCGGCGGTCCGGTCAACGGCCTCTTAAATATCCCTGGACTGACCGTCAAATCTGCTCGAGTTACTCCGGCCCAAAGCCCATTCGGCAAATCGCCGTCGCCAAACCTTGACCATTCCGACGGTGCAACCGGTGGTTCTGCTCTTCTTTCTCGGCTTCGTGCCGGGTCTATGCCACAGCGTAGCCAATTCAGCACACTCCCGGGTACGACCTCGCCCTTCGGTCCCTCCATCTTCAGTAGCTGGAACCCCGCCGGTGTTGGTCGTGAGCGAGGGTCAACTCTGGCAAGCATCGCAAGTGTTGGTTCCAACGGACCCAGTTCGCCTTCCCAGTCTCAGTTCTCCAAGGAAGGCGGCGGTGACTCTGATGTGCATATGCGCACACTAGACTACCTCGGTCTTGCTGAAACCCCTCAGCCTCCTCGAGCTCAGTTGGCGACGCCCTACATGGCCAACCTGGATTTCACCAGGCAGTCGAATCGCTTCAGGTCATATTCAGTCAACAATAAAGACAGGTACGCCGATGAAGAAGATGACTACGATGTTGATGGCTTGCCCATGGAAAGCCAGTACGTTGCTCTCCAGGATCAGTTAGCTGCCACGAATGCGGCAATTCACAGCCACAACCTGGCTGTTCAGGCGTTTGTAAACCAGGCCACGGCCACTCGTCCTCGCGCTCGGACTGCTGGTGTTCTGGAAGCTCCCGGCAACCGGTTGTCTCGAGCCCACATTCCCAGCAACGTCGGAATCCCTAGCTCGGTTGCTCCCGCCGAAATTCGCTTGCAAGATGGAAAGGAATATGATGACCTTCCTCAGGCAATTGCTGGCATGAACCTTGGCAGGTCCAACAGCCGTAACGCTGGTCTTCTCAATGCAGAAGAACAAGGGTTGGAAGGTCCCACAAGTGCGTTGTGGCTCGGCGGTATTCCGACATCGACCACTACATCGACCCTGATTGAAATGTTCAAGTGTCATGGCCCAATTTCGTCGGCTCGTGTGCTCACACATAAGAACTGTGGCTTTGTCAATTTCGAGAGGGTAGAAAGCTCGGTAGCAGCAAAGGCTTCAATGAACGGCAAAGAGATCTTTCCTGGTGCTGGGCCAATTCGGATCAACTTCGCCAAGCCACCCTCAGCATCTAATACCCCAGGCCATGACGGCGTATTCCCATCTCCCAGCCCCGATCCGTTTGCGAAGGGTCAGGACAATGCCAGTGGGCCTGGGCTCACGACTTCTACCGATGGTACCTTGACAGTTAATGGGGGTACTTCTACTCCAACTGTGCCACCCATGGCCGATTTAGCCGAAGACATGATGGAGATTGTGACGCAGTTCGGAGCAACAGATGAAGACAAGGCAGCTGTTTCACAGTATATTCAATCAGCGACACATTACACAGCCTATGTCGAGGAGATTCCTCCTATCCGTGAGCCCACCCACACGAGGGTTCATGACGCCCCGAAACTCAGGGACATACGAAAGCGTATTGATAATCAACTCCTGTCGAAGCCTGAGATTGAGAACATTGCCGTCGACATGCTTCCCGAGATTGCGGAGCTCTCCTCAGACTACCTTGGCAACACTGTTGTTCAAAAGCTTTTTGAACACTGCTCTGACCAGATCCGAGACGCCATGCTTGCAGAGATTGCGCCGCATTTGGCTGAAATAGGAGTCCACAAGAACGGTACCTGGGCAGCACAAAAGATTATAGCCGTCTGCAAGACACATGAGCAGAAGACCACAATTGTTGAGCACCTCAAGGCGTACACTGTGCCCCTATTCCTTGATCAGTACGGCAACTATGTACTCCAGGGCTGTTTGAACTGGGGACCTCCGTATAATGATTTCTTCTTCGAGGGAGTTGTTAGCCGCATGTGGGAAATTGCTCAAGGCCGCTGCAGTGCTAGAGCCGTGAGAGGATGTCTGGAATCCAAACTTGGCACAAGGGCTCAAGACATGGTTGTCTCCGCGGCCACTGCCATACACAGCGCGCAACTAGCAACCAACTCCAACAGTGCACTGCTCTTGACGTTCTTCCTGGATTCTTGTTCGTTCCCAAAGAAGCGCACAGTCTTGGCCCCGCGCCTGGTTCCTCACCTGGTCTACCTTTGCACCCACAAAGTGGCTTATGTTACTGTTCTCAAGATCATCAATCAAAAAGCTGAACCGGAGGCTCGAGATATTATACTCAAAGCGCTTTTCTTTTCACCCAACGACCAGGTCCTTGAGGCCATTCTTCATGATCCCAACTGCGGCGCCACGCTGATCTTCAAGGTTTTAACAACCCCATTCTTTGACGAGAGTACTCGGACCCAAGTCATAGAAAACGTCAAGACGGTCCTCCTCAAGATCAAGGCTCAGCCTAATCAGGGATACAAACGATTGATGGACGAGGTTGGTTTGTCTACCCGAGCTGCTCCCACTCGCGAAAACAGTAGCACTTCCGAGGGCCGACAGAGACCAACGTCTCGACAAGCCAACAACAGAACCATTAATGGCCAGCATGCCCAGGGTGGACAATCCAACAACCAGCCCTTCTTCAATGCTCTTAACGCTCAGCCCAGTGCGGCCGGCTTAGAGACAGGGTATGGCAATCAAAGAGGTGACACCGCCGACGCCAACGTTGCTGCATTCCAACAGTATGGGCAAGGCATTATGTATGGCACCCCAGCAGGTCCTATGGCTCCAGCCGTGAGTTTGCAGCAGCTCCAGTACCAGCAGAATATGTTGAACCGACCAACGCCGCAAATGACGTACAGTTATCAGACAATGCAAGCCCCGTACGCAACATATGGCGCACCCCCAGCTCCAGCTGTTGATCAGTATCGCCAGCCAAACTTGGCCAACGGAAGTCCTATTCAGCCTCCGACATCTCAGATGCCCCAGATACCAACTGGGCAGCCGCCCTATGCTCCTCCGGGCTTTGGCGTAGGGCTCGGCGGATACAGCTATGGCAATATGGGTGGGATGCAAAGCATGGCGTACATGCCTCAGGATCAGAGTAACAATCGACGTGGTGGTCGCGTACGTGATGTTCCATCCTTTCGATCGATACTGATAAAGATGCTAACAAACGCTGATAGAGATGAAAAACATTCGAAACTTCTAAACGACAAGGCACCGGCTTCCCCTGTCCGTTTTCCCTGAGTATCAGACCACACCTGGCTTACCAAAAGTTGAGCGGTGGAGTTTGGGTTTTCGAACTCGGTAGACTATGCCCTACGCGTTAGGGCTGTTGAGATGCTGCAATTAAACCAGCCTCCCTAGACGGTTACTGGCAAAGGCTGCTGCATTTTTATATTTCATTGTTAGCTCACCAGCCCCTTTTCACAAGCTCTTGCTTGCTTATTCTCAGCCCGAGGGACAAATGAAAATGTGTCGGGCAGGTCTCTCACATTCTTATTTGCGTCGAGGGCCTCAAAGAGAACGCTGGTGTTGTATCCGTTTTCTTCAAAAACTAACCATGATGACACGCCACGCCTCCCTGAATTTAACATGAAAACCATGCACCAATTCGAATTTTTTTGTTTCCTGTGTCGTCTTCTGGAGTAAACTTTTTGATGTCTATGTTTGCACCAATTTTTTTTTGGTGTTCATTTGCTGCCCATAGGGTCGTACGGTGGATTACTTTTACCGTTGTGTCGGATGAGATGATAGCTTGTTGGAGTAAAGGGCATTATCTAAGAAGGGACAGACAAGACGTGGTGTATGGTGCTAGAGAGGAACCTGAAGATGCATCTCATGATTGTATCGCTTGACAGAATAGGGGCTTTGTCGACGTTGATAGTTCTGTCATGCTACTTCTTATGTGGTTGTCTGATGTTTTGGTCTGTCTTTTGCCTGTCTGAGCGCATGACGAGGGCGTACGCTTTCCTCTTTAGGACAGTGCAATCACGCCGTGAGTACATGGTGTATATTAGAGATGGTTTCCGGGAGACACGGGAGTTCGCTATAGCATCGGTAGTTCAGCATATACAGTTCTGCGGCAGCAATGATTCACAGCACACTGGCACACACACACAGGTGACGGATGAATGACAGCATAGGATAAAAATAAGCCTCATTATGGGGCGACCATGCACCATGGATCTTGCCTCGCCTGTTCCTCTCGCTAGTCTTATTCATGACAGAACCCAAAAAGAAAAAAAGAGGAAAAATAAAACATGATACACGTGGTCAAACGAGTTTTTCTTGCTTCCTGACGCCCCCTACTCGCTCCTCATTCTGAATGCTATCTGAAATTATCTAGTACATGGAGAAAAGCGGTGTGCCAAAAGGACGAATGGCGTGTGTATGTTGGTGACAAAGGGTTCTAGCTGTGGACATGACTCGGCGATGTCACCGTGCGGGTGATGGGAAGGTAGATGAATGGGTTGCGGGAGTGTAAAGGGTATATTAGGGTTATTCTTCAAAGATGCCCGCCTTTCGATCTTGGAAAGCGTAATATCATTGATGCAAGGTAGGTTTTAAAGGTGGCAGGATAAATATGCGTCCACGTACAGTGGCTCAAGGCGGATTGAGAGATTGTTGTCTAGTTCCGATTCCTAATCGAGATCCATGGTGCCTTCGCCATGGTCAACGGTGGAAGGCGGTGTTGGTTCCGAGACGGGCACGCAATGGTCCATCTTCTGTGCATGGGGGTCGTTGAGCCCAGTTGTCGATGCAATAACGGGGGAACTAGCCTCTGCTTTAATGGGCTGCGGTGCAGGCGTAGAACTGTCCTCTGCTAGAAGTTGCCTGATGCGAGTGCCCACAGCGTCCATTTGAGCGAGCATGGCGCGGAGACCGAGGCGGTCCCCGGCGGTAAGCTGGCCTGAGGCAAGATTATCGGCGTTGCTTTTGGCCATGAGGGCGAGCATACTGTCGTCGGCGGCGGTCTGGATGTTTTCCACGGTTAGCTCGGGAAGTGGTCAATGGCTGGTTGGGCATTTGGCACTTACCATAAGAGCAGCCGTGAGTTTGTCTACACCATCCGATCGATGTTGCTGGAGACCTAGCAAGTTGAGAGAGACTTGCATCTCCTGCATCTTGCGATCCAAGGCAGAGCCAGCTAGTGGGCTCGTGGAGTCGCCATGGCTTGGTGGGGTGGGATAAGGAATGAGCTTGGACTCGTTCTGTCGAGAGCCATAGCCAGCCCCCTGATTCCTCAACCTATGGCGTGGCGCGGGTTAGAGTCCGTATGTACATGGTTTCTTTGTGAATCAAGATGACTTACTGTTGGATAAAGTCGAGAATCACGCCCTTGGCCGGAAGCTTGTATGTCCGGCCAAAGGAGCGATGGTCGGGCCAGCCGGACGCGTCAGGTTCGTCGGGCTCATCGGTCCAGTCAATCTCAATGTGGCCATTGTTCTTGAGGCCACGGCCAAAGGCAGGCGTCACTGTCTGGTTCCCCTTGAGCCTGCGGAAGCGATGGGCCGGGGCGAGACTAGGGACGTCAATGAGGATGTCGTCTACGTGGGCGGGACAGCGCCAAGTCTTGAGAACAGGTGGCACGGCGAGAGGCGGATCCAGACAGTCAATGTGCCAATAAAACGAGCACACGCTGCAAGGGATGATGGACCTGATCTGAGTTGCTGGCTTCTGGCAGGAATGGCACAGTACGGCCTGTCCGTCTTCGCGCTGCTTGAAGAAATCGGGTTCATCCGTGCCATTTCGCTTCCTGCAATTTGAGCCACTTGTTAGTCCCAGAGCGTGCGTACAATGTATGTGTATGTACATGATGTATGTGATGTTGGCAGTGCGAAGGGAGGGGGGGCGAAACGCGCAAAATAGGGCGGCGTCCCTCATCGCACAAATAACTTCACTCGACGGGCTCGGGGGAAAAAAAAGAGAGAAAAGAGAAGAAAAGCAAACAATGCGACTCACCTCGCTGTCTTGTTGCTTACCACCTCCTCATAGTCACCATCAGCACCGGCCTTTACTCCTTCAAAGCGGTTCTGCACGCGCTTGGGTAGACTGAATGCCCGGGGAATGCTCTTCTCTAAATTGTTGAGCGCGCTCCCAAAGATTCCTTTGTGAATGGGTACGCGCGAGGGGTATCGTCGAATGAGACACTCATTGCAATACCACTCGTCAGGCAAATCATCAGACTGCACCATGTCGACACACTCAAAGTGGAACGACCGTGGGCAGCCATCGCAACACACGACATCACCCGTGTTTCCGCATGCTGAGCAGTATTCATCATTGTCGGCGTTCTGCGAGATGGTTGTTAGTTGCGGTGACTCTACGCCTCGGGCGCCATGCTTGTCCAAACAGGACGTGTTGGGAGTTCCTCCACCATCTTCCACATGGACAAAAAGATGAGGCAAAACCGGGTTGCACGCATGCAGTTTCCTGCAGCCACTAGCAAATTGCTCAGGTGCCGTGGTGATCCGTGGTGATCCTAGTTCCGCCGTGCGACCCAAAACATGGCGTGGCCCTCCCGAAACAGCTCCCCAAGCACAGTCTGAGTCGCAACTCACTCTTGGCCGCGGGAAAATGACTGAAGGGAAGGGAAAGGAAGGGGGGGGAGATGAAAACATAGACAGTGCCGTGGCGATTCTGCGTTGCCAAGAAAGAAATCGTGACTTACCGGATCCTTCGGAGCGATACCGTTGAGTGATGAAGAATTTAGTTCATGAGATGGCCGCGGCACACCTGCGGCGCCGCCCTTCTTCTTGACCGGCCTGCCGACGACATGTTAGCCACCATGTTCTGTGCCAGGTCGCGCGTGAAGATGAATTCCTGTCAAAAATGCCTGGAGCCGGCCGCCATGGCCTCCTCACTCCGTAGGCTTGCACAGTTGCATGCTGAGATTGTAAAGTAACGAGATGGGGGGGGGAACAACTCACGATGTCTTGACGCGCAACCCCGTCTTCTGCTTCTTGGCTGGCCGCAGCGACGTGGGTGTAGCGGCCCGGGATCCCACCGCAGAACTTCCATCTCCCGGCAAGGAGAAAGCAATAGGCGAAACGGTCCTCTCCAAGTCGTCGTTTGGACGCTTGCTGGCCGAGCGAGTAGCCCTGGTGGTGACAGAGGCGGCAAGGGACTGGCGCGTCCGCCTCGTCGTCTTCACAGGCGTCGTCTCACGGTCTGCGGCAGGGCCGGCTCGGATAGAGCTCTCATGGGGGCTGAGGTTGTTCGTGACCCTCCGCGCAGTCCGTCGGCGGTCCCAAAATGATTCCTCCTCCTCCTCTGGCATAGGAGCCGGGGCGTCAAGGGCGTCAATCTCGGCGTCCTTGGCTGGTGAAACGGCTGGTTTTTCTGCCGACTTGACCTTGAGGTTGGGGAAGAGCTCTGCAGCGGAGACCCGGCCAGGCATGCTGGCATCATCAGCAAGGCAGGACGAGGAGATGTGAGGGCGCGTGCGACTTGTGTTGGGAAGGGTGGGAGAGTTTGGTCGGGATGAGTTGGACACGAGCTGTTTGCTGGAGGCGACAGATTTGCCGCGGGTGGTGATTGGCTGGGATTTTGGCGCAGTCTGGGACTTGGCCCCAGTGCCTTTGGTGGTGCCCTTGGTGGTGCCCTTGGTGGTTGGCGTCGTGGTGGGCGTCGTGGTGGGCATGGCGGTGCTGGCCACGGCCACGCTTCCTCGTCGAGCTCCTCGCCCTCCTCCTTCGACTGCTTGCTCGCCCGCTGCTTCGTCTCCTCCTCCTCGTACGGCTCCCCGGCCTGCTGCTGCTGCTGCTGCTGCTGCCCCTCGAAACGCGCTGGGGCTGTTGAGGCTGCTGACCCTCACCTCGGGCGACGACATGCTTATCGCCGTCGAGAGTGATGAGTCGCTGGACCCCGAGTCTCGTCGCGCGCGTTTCCGCGATGCCGGCGTCTTCACCCTGATGATTTTCGTAGTCGCCTTGTCCGTCTGCCCAGTGCCGACGGCTCCTGCTCCTGCTGCTGCTCCTGCTGCTGCTGTCCCTTTTCTTCCTGGCGTAGCAGCGTTGGACGTCCCAGGCCCGGCACCGCCATGTGAGGTTTTGGCCTTCTTGGCCGCTCGTGTCATGCTCTCCCGAGGCAGCCCCTCCGGCTCGTGGATGAGATGCGCATACGGCGCAGCCATCGCTTTGTGCGGCGTGAACCTGCTGTTGGTGGCAGGAGGCACGAAGAAGTAGCACCCCCGATTGTCCTTCTTTCCTTGGCGCTTTCTTTCCTCAATCTGCCTGTAAAACTCGTCCATGGTTTCCTCATCAGCAGTCTGACTGAAAACATCCTGAATCATGGCCACAAAGTCCCGGTCCCCGCTCTTCTCCTCGTAGAGCGTCTTGAGAGCCCAAGCAGTTGGGTAGCGATAATGCTTCAGCGCTTCGTCTACAGCTGCCTCGACCACCTTGTCCGTGAGTCCATGCTTTCCGGCTTCACTTCGAGAGTGGCGCTTGACTGGAGTTGCGGGCTTTAGCACAATGCTTGTAGAGCTCCTGCGTTCCCGCGCAGGCGATGGTGCTTGTGCCGCAGTGGTTATTGTTGTCGTTGGCGGTACCGCCGCCGCCATGGTCCTCTGCGCAGGTAACGACACTCTGCGCGAGCGCCTGCGACGGGCATCGCCTCTTGGATCATACTCCTCGTCGTCTGCCTCGTCGTCCTTTGTTCTTGCAACCAGCGACTTCCTTTTGCTGGCAGGCGCGGGAGGGAACAAGGGAGAGACTGGCGGTGACACGGCCGGAGACGCGGCCGCAACAACATGACTGTCGTCGTGAGCCGGAGTTTCTCGTCCCGGCGGCTTCTGTGGCGGGTGCGTAGTGGAAGTCTTCAATATGATTTTCCTCGTCGGCATCCCATTCTCCCCGCTTGTCTTCTTCGCCTTGGGCAATGCTCCCAGGGGGGCCATATTTTCCAAAACTCCGCCACGCAACAATCCAGCCTCCTCGAAGCTCGGCTTGCTCTGTACAGAGGGTTCCAGCCATCGCTGCATGAAGGAGCGCGATGCCTCATTTGCGGAACTCCGTGACACCTCCAATGGCTTGCTCACCGTGCCTCCATTTGGTTGCGCAGGACTCGAATATCGCGAGGCCGACCGCGAGGCCCTCGCACTGGATGATATCATTGCTGTGTGTGCCCAAAAAAAAAATCGCCTCTTGCCCGTTCATAGGTGTTGGGGGTGCCCGTCTTATGCGCGCCCCTTGCGGTGGTCGCGGGATCAAGGCAACGCACCTACTCGAGCCTGGCAAACGGTTCGTCAGCAACGGTTGCGGGACAAGGGAAAACACGCGGCCACGCGGGACTCCGGGGCGTATTCACTTGCTGCGTGAGCTGTAGCATGGATTCCGGCTACCGAATCGCGCTTTTTCGGTGCCTTTGACGCGCTCATAAGGAAGGGAAGGAGAAGGAACGTCGTGGAGGAGTCTCGGGAGGGTCAACTCAGAACTGGGTGTCTGGAAATCTGGGTGCCCGGGGCCTGGAACGTCGACAGGCTGCCGAAATCCATACATGTCTGGTACCAGTTGACCGCACAGAGAGCTGTGGGAGAACGCGCGAGACGTGCGAGGACTCGCCGAGGAGGCCCTGCGGCACCTGCGGCCGTGCTATGCCACGCCTGTTTAGGCAGTGTAGGACAGGGGGGGCACAGCGCTCAATGCGCACTGGTCATGACATCTCAGCGCCCGGCCGCCTCGACCTTTGCCACTGACTGAACCTGGGAACATTGGGGGGGGAAAGTACCAGTTGACATGTACCAGCATTGAACCTACGTACTTAGAAGTACCTACTTTACCTAGTAGTTGCTCTGCAGAAGTCATGGGAACATGGAATGAATATTGACGCGAGCCGTGCTTTGCTCAATAACGTCAGTTCCTGCACTGCAGACAAACAGCACTCACCCAGTCGCCGCTTTGGGCCGCGGTGAGTGGCACAACAGCCAGGATTTGTCCTCGATCCAAGTTCCTCCAAATTCCTGCTCTTCCTCCATCCCGGGTCCCGCCTCGTCCGCGTCCTGCAACCTGATTTCTCGTCCGACTATCCCCTGCCGGTTTCTCGTGCAGCTGGCTACCTACCTAGGTACTTAACCTACTTAAGGTATCTATTGCGCGCAGGCGGCTTCGAAAATAATTTGGCAGATACTCGGGCGCAAAAAAAGGGGGGGCCGCAAGTCATCTAGCATTCCCTGCGTTCCAAACGTCGGTACTAGTAGTATAATTAACTAGCAAAACGCGACCCATCATCCCACGTACCGGGCTCAAATGCCGACCAGCGTTCAACAAAATAGCCAACTACCTGAAAATGAGGTGGCGACGTACCTACTAGGTAGGTACTTAAGTAGGTATCTACCTCTTCATATGCCCCTCAAAATGCTCCAGAACCCCCCGGCTTGCACATGTATGGATGTGCGGGCTTGGCTGCCAAGCAACATGGGCAAAGACCAGTTGATACTAGTAGTAGTAGTACTATGTAGTACGACTGCGTACTCCTTGCTCTCAAATACCGAGCGGGCATAACATTACTCCCAGCTTCACTCCCCTAGGCATTTAAAGCGAGCGGGCTAATCGACAACAACAAGGGCTTTCCGAGGCCGTCAATTGACTTTCACGGCAATTGGGCCATTGCTCACCTCACTCAGTCACTGACCCATTCATATGTTTTTATCAAGCGCCAGAAACAGCGTTAGTTGTCTAGATAGTATATCCGTCTCACCAGCCTCACACGCAAGCTCGCTGTGGAGACCGCCATATCACCCAACCAGGCCAGGGGTGCCAAAATCCACGTCCGTGTCCATAATGTGCGAGACTTCCACCGTCACTTCCTAGCTGGAATCCCATGCTACAATTGCCCCCTCAAATATATTTCACGTTCCCAGCCAGTGGCGTTAATGGTCGCTTGTTGCTGCTCTTTCACCGGCGAGTTTATCGCCTTGTCCCTAAAACTCGGACAATGACTAAAATACTCCTCTAGACATCAACCCTGACTTCCTGCACTTGCCATGCTCACTCGTCGCTGTCGTCGGAATCGTCATCAGAATCCTCGGCGGCGGCGGCGGCAGCCTTCTTGGCGGGCTTCTTCTTCTTCTTGCTCTTGCTCTTCTTTCCAGTGTTTCTGGCCAGGGGCTGCTCCAGAATCTTGAGAATCTCCTCGTCGGTGATCTTCTTGTCCGACTTGACCTTGCTCAGATCGAGGGCAGGAGGGCCACCCAGCTTGGTGATGCCGTTCTTGGTAATGGCTATTGCGACGTTAGTTGCTGCTGTCTGGTAGCGCTGCGTATATTCCATCAGATGCTCTACTTACCAATCGTGGTGAGCAGGCGGGCAACGGGGGCGTTGTCCTTGTCACCAACAAGCTCATACTGGCGGAAAACATTGCCACGAACGCACTCAACGACACCAGACTTGGCATCGCGCTCATCTTCGAGCTGTCGCAGGCTGAAGGGGAAGGTACCAAACTTCTTCTGGACCTCGGAAAGGATCTTGCGCGAGGTAGGGCGCTTCAAGCCGTAGGTCTGGGTGGTGCGACGGTGCAGAGTTGCACGCCCATCCAAGGCCTTGCACTTGCCGGAACCGAGAGACACGCCCATCTCGACACCCCAGACCTCGGAGATGGCGGGAACACCGTCGCCCTTGCCGCCATCCTGGGGAGCAAGAACAATTTTCTTGGTGCTCTCAATCTCATTGCGGTCGAAGAGCCATGAGGTGGTACTCTCGACGAGGTTGCAGCCATACGCCTCGCAAACCTTCTCAAGCAGGCTGGTCATCTTGGCTTGGGTAGGAGGCTTCTGGGAAGCAGCCTTCGCCTTCTCCTCGTCGGTGCCCTGAGCAAGGAGGCCAGGGGGGACCATCAACCGAAGAAGCAGCTCATTTGCGTAGTGGGTGGCCAGGAGCAGGTCAGCGGGACGGCCAGTGAGAACCTCGTCCTTGTTTTCGCCCGCCAGGACGGTGTCACAGACAATGGCGCCGAAACCATCAATCTGAGCACCAAGCTGGACCTTGATGGGTTCGTTGGGCTGAATCTCCAGAGTGGCCTCGCTCTCATCTGAGGTCAAGGGGGTGTAAGGGGTGACATATGAGGCAGGCGAAACAGTGGTAGGGTGAGAGAAGCCTGCCATGCTCTGTGTTAGCAAGCAAGGGAGCAATTCGAAATGAGCGGTGCCGACAACGAACCCTTGGTGATCTTTTTGCCGCGGTAAACCTTGCCGACCTCTTCCTCGAGTAGCTTATCACCCTTCTGGCAGATGTCGACGATTTTGGCACCGGGGACACAGAGCTTGGAGACCTCAGCAAGGACCTTTTCAGAAATCTGACCAGCAGTCTTGTACTTGGTCAGAGTGTCGGGGTTGTTGAGGGAGTAGTCTGTACGCGTCTGGTCAGCGGCCGGGTTGAAAGAGGTCGTGTGCCCATTTGGAGCCCAAAAAACAGCCTCGTGAAGGGTGGTCGTGGTGTATTGACTTGACTGTTGGCTGCCCATCAATGATGAATGGCGGGGTAGGTTGTTTTCTGTGCGCGGGAAAGAGGGGCAGCACTTGAGCTCCAGGGTCGAGACTCGAGACAGAGCTTCCAGGCTGGGTGCTGGAGGGTGCAGAGATACATACCAACGGCGTCCTTCTCGTCCGACATGATGGGCGACGCTTAATTGCACAATACTGACTCTTGGTAAAGGTACGGGGCGTGGTGTTGGAGACGGGAAGGTGGGAGTGGATGGGGATGAGCTGCGAGTCTTTGGCTTTGTGGGAATGGGAAGCAACAGACAGCTGGACGCCGACGAGTTTTGCTCCCGTGTCAGTGAAGAGGGGCACTGGACGTCGCATGTCCAGAAATTGCTGTAGGGATTTGGACCAGAACCCAATCTAGCCCTGCTCGAGCTGCGAGTAAACCCTGGACTGGGCCGTTTCCATGGTTTCTGTGGGCATCGCGCGTATGTAATATCGCCTGCATCGCCTAGGCTGGCCAGCCACAAGCAGACCGTGGCCGATTGTGGATATTTACTCTGCAAGACGCATCTGTACTCCGTACGTACATCGATTTGCTACCTACCCTGTAGCTTCTTGGTGAGCTTTTGCCGTACCATAACCAAGACTGTCTCTGGGGAATCGGATGTTATATTGTGGGTGATTTCCGGAAGCCTGATGCCCTGGCGCTGGTATTTCTGATCGTGACTTGCCAATAAAGTGCCCATCGTAATTGTGACTGGGTGAAGTTTACTTCTGGTATCATGGTGACCTCACAAACCCTAGCAGAGCCCAGTTATCAACAGGGGAACATCGATTGAACCCACACACTGAGAATATATAACACACAGATGTATGTATGTATAGACTTGGTGCCATATGAGGCTAGTTGCCGAGACTATGCTAGTCAACATGGTACCATGACCGGAGCAGGTTTCTTTATATGCCGAGACTTTACGATAAAATTGACGAGATTCCCATTCCCGCTTCGGATTCCAAGTGGAGACGAGCTAGTTGCGACGGCGCCCTCTAATTCGCCCGTTATCACCGGCCCGTCGAGTGCAAGGGACGAGTACCGGTACAAAGTATGGACATCTATTTATGAGCAACAATTCGTACATGTACTTATTCTGCTCAGCCTTCCGCGCCGATTGGCAGCCAGCAATAGGAGCGTGCCAGTCCCAGTCCAGTACGAAACCCTTTCCCAAAGCCATAGATTTCAACATCAGAGCCTCGTCTCGTCGCCATCGCATATCCCGCCCAACCCAACGATACCCTGCGCTACGGTATAAATCACAACCCCTGCGCGTCTGCTTGACGCATTTGACGCTACCGCACCGTTGCGGCGACATCGCTGCGTCCAGCAATCGCGACCATGGCGACACAACTAGCCACCTCGGAGCCTGCGCCGAGCGTGAGGCCGACCGCGACGTCTGCGACATCAGCACCAGATGGTGATGAAAAAGATGCCGTGCAAGGCTCATCGCCGGCGGAAATACCCGTACGCACAAAGGAGTCGTTCAACAAACTCATGGTTGAGCGTTACACCATGCGCGACGCCATCGCCAGTGCTGCCCTGGGCGAGCAGCTGAATCAGACACGGCAGTCCTCACAAGAGATGCGTGAGAAAATCCACGAGTACAGAATGGTGCGGAACGAGTACAAGCCCTGGTTCCCGCCAAGCAGGCTCTACGGCGAAGGGTACAACGGATTTGGAAACGGATACACCGAAAACCAGCAGCCAGCCTCCAGAATCATCTACCCAGCGCAAAAGCCACGACCCGGACGACGGACGACGCCATCATTCAAGTTTGCCCGCAAGGACATGCTCAAACAGGCAGAGCAACACGAGGAGCTAGTCCCGCTACGCCTGGAGGTAGAGTGGGACAAGGTCAAGCTTCGCGACACGTTTACTTGGAACCTGCACGAACGTCTTTTGGCTGTCGAATTGTTTGCGGCGCAGCTGGTGGAAGACATGGCGCTGAAACCACCTGCGGCACAGCCCGTGTTTGAACAAATCGTTCAACAGATGCGGGAGCAGCTGAACGATTTCTATCCATTTGCGTTCGCAGAGGAGGATGCCCTCGACCCGGAGCTGCCGTACTCGGCCTACAAGAATGACGAGATGCGCATTCTGGTCAAGCTGAACATCACAATTGGCCAGCATACCTTGGTAGATCAGTTCGAGTGGGAGATCAATAACCCCAACAACTCGCCAGAAGAATTTGCCGCCAACATGGCGCGCGACCTGTCCTTGTCGGGCGAATTCACGACGGCGATTGCACACTGCATTCGTGAGCAGACGCAGCTTTTCACCAAGAGCTTATACAGCATAGGGCATCCATTCGACGGACGACCGGTCGAGGATTCGGATCTCGTGTCCGCATTCTTGCAAACTCCTCTTCCCGCCGTCTTCCGACCACAGCAGCAAGCCAAAGAGTATGCGCCGTACATGTACGAACTCAGCGAAGCGGATCTGGAACGAAACGAAATGGTGTTTTCCCGAGAACAGCGGCGCCAGAAGCGCTCCATCAACAGACGAGGCGGCCCGCAACTCCCAGACCTCAGAGAACGACAAAGGACCATTCGTACCCTCATCGTTTCGTCCGTATTGCCTGGTGCGGTCGAGGACGTCGAGGACAGTCGACTCTACAAACGGACGGCTGGCACAATCAGGAAGAGAACTGCCCGTGATGGCGAGATTTCAGAATCCGAGGAGAGCGACGACTCATCCCCCGACTCGCCCGCACCTTCACAGATGGCTGGCACGGCGCGCACAAGGGGCATGCGAGGGGCTGCGTCGGCTGCGCAGCAGCGAATGGCGAATATTGGCCGCTCCGAGACGCCCGAGACTGGGTCGTTGCATCACCACGAGACTCGAACATCGCGCCGTGGCCGGGAAGAGACAGAGGAGCCCTCTCACCTCTGGGTTACACTGAAGGTGAGCAGGGAGAAGCTGAGGAGAGTCATCAAGGGCGACTATCGCGACCTGAAGGCGCCTTCACAGCCGCAGACACCGGTCGTGGCCCATGCCAGAGCGCCAAGTGCATCGTCAAGCATACCCAAACCGAAAGTGCCATTCACGCCAACCTCGGCGTCATCTACACCTCAGCCAGCAGCTGCACCAGCACCAACGGGGAGCGGTTCCAGTTCCTTTCCTGCCGGCCAGCTAGGGCGTCTCCCTGCTCCTCCCCCTGTCCCCGGACAGTCACCTCCCCCAGCCGTGAGTATTTCTTCCCCCATTGTCACCGACCACGTCCATACAGGTCAGAGCCTAACATGTGCGTCTCGTCAGCCCCCTCCGCCAGAGTGGCTTGTCAACGCCCTCAAAGACCTAGAGAAGCAGTACCCCAACGGAGACAAGTTTGAAGCCATCATGAAATACTCGTACCTCGACCCCGACACCGAACTTCCCCTCCAACCGCAGACGCAGCCGTTTCCAGAGGGCGTTAAGTACGCCTGGCTCCCGCGCATTCGCTGTCTCGACTGCGCCACCAAGCTGTACACCCCTGGCCCGGACATGACGGCCCAGAAATTCGAAGCGCACTTGAAATTCTCTGGCCACCGGGCAAAAGTTAACCAGAGACTTGCGGCCCAAAACGGCGGCGCGTCAGGTTCATAGAATTCTCCCCCCCTTGGGCGCCTGCATGGTCTCCAAGACAAGGACGGAGCAAAGAAACAAAAACGAAAAAGACTGTAGATTTCCTGTTGGCTTGGCGCTTGAGAAAACAACCCACTGTATATATATATATATTTGCCCATTGTTCCTTTTTTCTTTTTTCTTGGGAAGTGATTTGGATTCTCTCTGGTCGGCTGGTTGGCGTACCCATATTGTCTTGTGGCTGCCGTTGTTTACGAGGGCAGGGCGGTGGTTTATTTTTAACGAGGGAGAGGGCGGAAACATGAGGGATGCGTAGAGGGTAGGATAGGCGAATCGAACGCTTTCGAGATTCATCCACTCTCGTCCAAGGACTGTGCTGCTCCGCGTGACAGGCACTCACTCCTCATCTCGGTCTGGCATGGGCTTCGGCTAACACAGTATTTGCATTTGGGCATCATGACTCCTATCGTAACACTACTTGGCCACCCCCCCCTGCTCCCCTGAAAAAAAAAGGTCCTCTCGTACACAAGGTAAACCCCTCCAACAGAGTAGCACTAACAAGCAACTGTTGCCCAGTCCTATTCTGAACAATGACAAGCGAATTCCAATTCCGCGGCCTATCCATGCGGACTGTCCACTCCTTCTGGAAAAAAAGAAAAAGAAAAAACGACAAAAAGTTGCTCAGCACCCACTCATTCGTCCACTTCCATGTCGGAATCATCCCTAGTCGCACGTCCGCCTCGACCTCTTGCTCTTGATGTACGATCTAGCTTAGCCAGGACGCTAGCTTTGACAGAGGCCGAGGCTTTGCCCTTTGGTGAGGAGGCGACTTTGGAGCCTTTGCGCTTAGCCGGTGCCTCCTCCTCATGCTCCTCTTCGCCCTCACCTTCTGCCTCTTCCTCTGCCTCTTCCTCTTCATCAGCGGACTCAGCATCATCATCATCATCGTCAGACAGCTCTGAACCCTCGTCGCTTCCACTCTCCTCTACGTCCGAGTTCTCCTCGCCATAGTCCCATTCCGCTACTCCCTCTAGCATTTCTTCCTCATCATCCTCATCAGCCCGCTCCTTGTAGTCTGATACTTTGTGGGCGCGACCACTGCGACGGCGCTCGGATGGGGCGACTTCATCCTCCTCCTTATGCTTCTTGGGCTTGGGTGCCTTCTTGGGTTTGGCACTCTTCTTCTTAGATGACGATATTTTGGAAGAATTGGCTTTCGATTTCTCCCTGATGACTGTCTTGACTTGAGTCCTTGGTCGCTTTGCTGGTGGGTCACCGTGCTCGTGGATAGACTTGCGCTTCTGATCAATTCCGTTAGTATTTCGCTAGGGCCGGGCACTTGAGTGTTACTGGGGCGTCGATGAGGCGCTCACCTTTTTGCGATCCATTGCACGAAGCAAATCATCCAACCTCTCGTCAATCTCATCAGGAATATACAACTTCTTTGCAATCTGCTGCGCCACCTCAGCAGATGGCAGAGCAGTATACAACCCTGACGGAACGCCAACCTTGTCAGGATGCGCTTGGAAGATCCAGCCCTTCCTCTCCTGATACTTGCGAATCACTGCTGAGGCGAGATCACTAAGCACGTACAGATTATCGCTAGCTTTCGGGTTGATTCCGTCCTGTACCTGCTTGACCCTTTCCGTGTATCTGTAGATCAACGAAATATTGTCCTCCGTCGCAATAGCGTTGAGGTAGAACAAGAAATAGCTTGCGAAATCAACCAAGTCGTCCATCTCTGCGCTGTAGTCGGGGTGGTGCGCAAGCAACGGTATTAAGCGGCCCATGAGAGCTTCCATTACCCTTTGCTTCTTCTCCTCGTAATATCGAGCTCTAGATCGTATCCATGTCTCAACTCGGTTTTTGAGATCTGATGCGGGCTCGAATGCGACCAAGAACAAGATGGTGTGGAATCTAGGCCTAAGCTTTTCGCGAGTGAGGTAGTTTTGCAGCTTTTCCATGAAATGTCTGCGAACCTGGAGTTCACTGTCCTGTACCAGCTCTGCCATCTTGTTAAAGCTTGTAGGCTCCAATTTCTCATCGTACGCCTTGACTGTGCAGAGTTTCAACATCAACAGTCCAGCTAGTAGCCGAAGGCGCTTCTTGTGGTGCAATGGGGTGTCTTTGGTTTTGCAGAACTCGCCCTCTGTGACCACAAACGTTTTGAGCAGCTTGAACACAACTTTGACGCGGTCTTCAGCATCGGGCTCCCTTTCGGCCGCAAGAGCTTGGTTTACCAGAATTCTGAGCGAGAGGCATTTGGCTTGCAGCTCCTCGCTCATGTCCGCATCATCCACCCATGATGGATCCTTCTCTGTGGCATCTGTCCGCACTTGGCGGAGGATCTGATTGATCGTCAAGTCACGAATAGCCTCGTCCGAGTCGGCCGTTACAGACGGTACGAGCCGTTCAAGTTGCGATATGGACGCTAGCCTGGCCAAGAAGTGCGATGAGCCATATTCCAGGCCCTTCATGATATTCCTCAACAAGTTTGTAGCTGTTACTTTGCTCTTGTCGTCACCCTTGGCCAAGAGAATATTGACGGCATATTTCGCAGCTCTGGGTGGAGACGCGTACTGGGCGTAACTCATTAGTGATTGCGTAAAACTTCGGTCATAGTTGATGTCCTTGGGATACTTCTTCGCATACGAGGAGTATGCCTTGAGAATATCAACCACCGTTGGGTCATTGATTTTCTTGTCGCTTGGGACGTGCTCAATGATTTCACGTCGCAAGTCCTCGGCATGTGCCTTGAAGATGTCTGGGTTTCGCTGTGATATGTCGTTTAGTACCAAGTGGGCAACAGCAGCAAACCCATCCTTGTCACTCTTGGAGTAATCCATGATTGTCGCAAGATGGCTTCGGTTGAACATGAGGCAACTTGATCGATAGAGCAGTGGGATGAGCGTTTCTAGGCAGACAACTGCAGGCGTCCCTTGCAGCTTGGTAATGAGCTCACTGATGGCTCGTCTGACAGTTTTGAAGTCGCTCTCGGACTCGATCGCGTATTTGACTAGCTGATAGCTTCGACGGTCGTTGAGTTTAGCAAACTTCTGCAGATCTCCGCGAACCTTTAATGGCTCTGGAAAGAATCCGCCCAACCACTGGAACGTCTTGGACAGGCTGGTCTTGACCTTGTCCTCATTCCCGTCGATGACTCCTCCATTATATGCTTCGCACTGTTGGATAAAGATACCGACGCCCTTTGCAAACTGTGGTTGGCGGGCCTGCATGGCGAAGAAGGCCTTTTGTGCGGGCACATCCAGAGACTTTAGCATGAGAAGGATCCTTTCAGCACGAATTCTGTCCTGGTCTGCAGCAGTGACGCCACCCTTACCCTGAGAGCCAGCAGCACTCTTGCCGCCTTTCCCTTTGACCAGAGGATACTTCAAGGGGACAAGACACTCGAATAAGACCCGGTCGAGTAGGACGTTGAGGTCGGGGTCATTGGCGTAGAATGCGTTGATGATGCGAGACGGCACACCGGACAGGCATGCCGTTACTGCCTCCTGACCGTCTGAGATTTCTCCTGCGCCGACCGCCCACAGCTTTCCAAGCAAGACCATAGCATCGACACGCACCGCTGGTTTTCTGTCGCGGCAGCGATCAGCCAAGCTTGCAAATATAGACCCCTCCTTCTCTACTCCGCCGGTCACGCCAAGTTTCAGAATGACGTCGCGAAAGGTGAAAAGCTCAATGGCCTTGACGGCGGCCAGACGCACCTTTTCTTCGCTGTCATTCAGTTTGTCCACCAGGCCCTTGATCAGCTCTGTTTCGTCTTCCCTACTCAAACCAATCCCTCCCGCGGAAGTAGACAGAATGTAACCGGCAGCGGTGACCCACGCAGCTCGAATTGTCCCTGCCTTGTCGTTCTTTCTGCCAACGAAGTTGCGATAGGTGGCGTGATGAGTTTGAGCAAACGATTGCGGCGAGTATGGCCTTGTCAATGCATTGGTTTCTGTGTCAATGACTGGAGGGGTACCAATTGCATCATCCATCAGGCGTAGGGGTGGATAGGCTGCAGGGTCGAGTGTGGGAGGAGCTGGCGGTCCTGCTGCTCCGATGCCTGAAATCATATCTCCAAATGCCTCCGTGGCTATGATTCGCAGGTGAACATTGTCGGCCGACAGCTCGGCGTCGAGCTGGGGAACGACGTTTTGCAGAATGGTAGGAGCAGCTCGCCAAAGTTCTCGGATCAGCATATGAGCCTGCCGCAGGCTTTTCAAATCCGCCTCTGACGGACCGGAATGACCGTCTTCCTCATCAGACTCCTCTGCATGGCGGAAGCCATTACTCTTGGTAGCAAATCTCGAGGCATTGAGAATGACGTCGCTAAAGTACTGGCTGACATATCGAGACATTTTATCGGCGCAGCCATTGCAGATGTTCTTGGCCATGACGTAGGCGGCAGGCTCGGTTTTATGTAACAGGGTAGCCTGTTTACCATTCTGTTCCTTGCTGCGACCACCCCCCGGTGGCGCTGCTCTGAGGAATTGGCTGATGATGGCGTCGATGACGGTCGCGGGTATGCTGCCAGGGGATTCGTCAATAACCTCCATGAGCATCTCGGTGAGGCCAATCTCGACGTCCTTGGCAACCTGTTCCTCATTGGAAGCTCTAGAGCTTGTCGACACGCCATCAAAGGTCGAGTTGAACAAGCGCAACAAGAGGTCGTCGGCACCGTGAATTTCAGAAAGGAGCAGTATACTTTTGACGTCAGACAGAGACATCAATACATATTTGTGCTGACTATTGTAGGGATTTGTAGGGTCGAAAAGGGCCGGTAAAATGTCCTTGATAAAAAGAGTAAAGATCATCTAAACAGCCACAATACACGGGTCAGTATTTTGGCGCGACATGCAGAGAGATGTAATGTAGATGGACTCATTCTATACGGATGGGACAAGAGAGAAATACCCACCTTGAGTTGATCGTCTGTGAATGGCGCTTCTGGTACAAACAGACGCAAGATATCCACCAGACAACAGGCGGTATAGGCCTTGACACCTCGATCCTTGTGCTGCAGCAGGTTGCGATGCGCCAGGCTTGTGGCGACGTGTTTAAGCGAGTCCAATTGCACGCCCCCCTGATCGAAATCGGCGAGCTCCTTGGACAGCCTCTCGAGACGATCCAGCAGCGTAGCGCTGGGGATGGGCTTTGCCGGCCGCCAGGACAGCTCGTCGTCGAACTCGAGACTGCGCTGCTCCACGTCGTCGTCTTGGTCTTGGTCGTCATCGCCAGCTGGTACATGATCCGGCTCGGCCTCGGACGCGGACGCGGACGCTGGTTCCGGCTCGGGCTCTGGGATGTCGTCTTGCATGGGGTCATGCTCTTCTGCCTCAACAGGGTTGGGCTCCTTGGCCCTGGTACGGCGTCGCGCCATGTCGTGACGCGGGCAATTGCGGTGATTTGGGATGTCGATAGTTTCCAAGCAAGGAACCACAGCTCCCCAGATGTCAGATGGAGGGTGCGAGGGCGCGGGCGGGCGTAGAGATCAGGATCAGTGAGGGATCGCGTGGTCTCGACTCTCGACTCTGGTGCAGTGCGCAAGACGGGTCACGACATGGCACGGTCGGACGGGCAGAGGGCAGGGCGGGTTTGAAGGAGACGCAGCCCGGGGAGCGATGAGGCGTTGGGAGTGTGCGACAGGCGATGAACAAGAGCAGGAACAGGAACAGGAGAATCGGACAAGAGGACGAGAACAAAAAAAAATCACCAGCGCTGGTGGGAGTGGCAGTGGCAGTGGGAGGGGATCGGGGGTGGGAATGGGAGGTCAAGCGGGAGCGCGACCAGACAGACACGCAGGAGATTGGCTCACTTGGGACGATGTTGAATGTTCCATGCCCTGCATGTGGGATTGGCTGTCTGGTACGGAGTGCTGGCTGGGCCGAGACGTGGACTTGCAGCAGCTTGAGCAAGTGCTGGGCCCGCTGGGGCACACGCAGCTTGGGTCAAGTCCGGTCGGCGGGCCAAGGCGCTGACGTCCTCACTACCGACATTAATTGATGGAGTACGGAGTACCAGACTTGTTGACGCGCGACGCGCCTGTGCACCGTGCTTGCTGGCTGAGCTGTGCTGAGCTGTCGGGTGCTCTCACCAGACAGCTGCTACCTGGTCTGTGCTTGCCAGCCTCCCGCCCCTCGCGTTGGCGAGCTCACCAACCGGCTCTCAGGTACCAGACAGTTGTACCAATGTACTTAAGTACCTCAGCACGAGCAAGTGGCATCGGCTGCTCCAAAAGAGGTCAAGCGCCGTTGACTTTGTACATACAGATTCCCACATCGCTACATCGTCTCGGCGTCGCATCCCAAAATGACCATCACGGCGACATAACATGCGTGCACGGCATCAGGTCACAGTTTCAATCCCACGATCCGTCAATATGGCCTGGGCTTGGCCTGTGTGACAGCTTGCCACCTGCGACCGGCCTCCCTCTCATCTAATGCCGCCGTCCGTTTTTGTGTACACACTTGAACGACGCTCACGCAACATCTCTGACCATTCAAATCCATCGTGGTCCCATGCAAACCCTCCCTCAATATAAAATGTATCCCATCTGTTGCACTTACGACTTGCATTCTCTGCGAACTTTGAAACGGCTGACACAATACCAATCCTTCATGTGCCTGACACATTGACTTGCAATGTTTGCAAAAGATGCCCAAATGGGGCTGTTGGTCATCGATTGACCTTCCAAACCGACAATTCCGTCGGCTCCTTGTGCTGAAATTTAATCATCATCATCATGTCAATGTCATATTTGTAGCCTAAAACCAAGCTACTAGGTAGAATGAGCTCTCATACCTCTCCAAGAACAAGACATTGCCCTTGTACACACATTTGTCCCGATTCCTGGCCTCATGGTGCTTAGGATTGATAGATCCCAAAGAAGCCTCGACGCCAAGTTTCCATCGACTCGTGGCACATGTGCTTGTTTATAGCCATTATGTGATTCACAGCCTTGCCAGCTGCCCATCGCCATCCACCAGCCGTGAAGAACCGTCAATACCCAAGCTGTCAAGGCTCACATTTCTCTCACATGTCTCCGGCTCTAGATTTGGTATAATAAACACTAGAGCTTCTCCTTCTGCTTGCATACTTTCCTTTCCCCTCAACACACTCGTTCAAAACGGAACCAACTTCCACGTTCGTTTCTATCGCCTCATCCCGTCTCACAAGAGACCACAGCAGCTCCCTTCTGGCTCCCAAGCATCTTCATAACCTGCAGCATCTCGCTCTTTTTCCTTTCTCGTGCGTAATCTGTGGCCCCTTCCTTTATCGTCTCCAAATGTTTGCTTTAGACCTGCTGTATCACATAGCTCCGAGACGGAGCGAGCAAGCAAACTGTCGAGTCCCAGCCTTCGAAGCACTTCGCTCTTCAAACATACTTACACCTTTAAACACTTTAGGCCACCAATACCACTCTTTTACCAAAACCATCCTGCTTTAAACGTGAGTTTTCATTCATCATCATGACAAATTTTGCACCAGGTCGACTAACAAATGCCCATAGTGGCAGCCATGAAGGACCGCGAATTTGGAGAGTTGCCTCATCCATCCTCCCTGCCTCGGGAGGAGGAACTCCGAAGATTGACGAAGCCTCTATGGGTGCTCATGTATTGGGGTTGGGGGTTGATGTTTATGGCAGCCGTCTTCACCATTGTCACTACTCTCTTTGGTAGGATGACTTATCCCCCCCTTATCTGACAAGCAAATTCTTTGCAAATAAGGGATATCAGCTGATGACTCAGGTCCAATGCCATCTTCTCGCGGTCCCGAAGAACTCATCCATGCCGAATATGTTGTTTCCAAGGCAGCTCATCGGCTTGCCATCCGTGGCGACTGCAATGAAACCGCTGGCCTGTTCGAACCTGTTGTCGATGCCATGACCGCAAAAGCTCGCCGGTTTTCAGGAACCATCTCTGCATCTCAGGCAGTGACAGAAGCCTCTCAAACGACAATTGCTGCTTCCGCTGAATCCACTACTGAGTCTTCTGGTGAAAGCATCCCCGTTTCGTAAGTCGAACCCAACTCTTCGTGGTTGATTAAAACACTTCCCTAATCGATGCAACTATTAGAACTCAAACTGCTCTTTCCACTGCCAAGAACACCACTACTGAACCACATACCCTTACCAGCACCACCACCGGCACTGTAACTATAACTGTATCTCCAGTCCAGTATACTGACACTACTGAGAGCCATGACACCTGCCAGGGCGGAATCACAGAAACAGTCACTGTCACTGTGTATCCTGCTCCAGAGGTAACAGTCACTGCCGGAGCTTCTACCGTCACCAAAGACAGCACAGACGTCTCCTACACCAGCGGTCTTCCAGACGCAACTCTTTCTGGCAACCCATCAACCTACACCACCATCCAGACAGACGTTACATACACCACTGGTCCCCCCGATGCCACTGTCTCTGAGGATCCCACCACTGTCACCAACGTCCAAACCGACGTCTCCGTCACCACAGGTCTCCCCGATGCCACCGTCTCTGGAGAAGCTTCAACTGTGACAGACGTCGAGATCACTTGGAGTTGGCCCCTGACCAGCACCTACACCTCGCCCGTCACAACCATCACCATCTCCGATCTCTGGGGCCCTGCACCGCCAGTCGACACCTCTACCGAGTCTGGGCAGGCTAGCCTTTCCACCTTTACAACCGTCATCTTCTCCCAGGTGACCATCACACTATCCTACCCAACCCCAAGTGTTTCCTCAGAAGTCGCGGGAGAGGCGACGTCTACTTCCGGGCCCGCCCCTACAAGCACCTACACCGAGTTTGTCACTGAAACCGGTGGACCGCCGGCCATCGAGACCACTACGGTCGATGTCCTGCCCCCAGCTTACACGAGCTACAACACCTCGTCCACCTCCAGCCTTGCCCCGTCCATCGTCATCATCTCTGATGGGAGCAAGCGCCCAGAGCCGACAGCCTGGGGTGGCAGCAACGGCGGCAGCAACGTCGCTTGCACAATCATGCTCATCGCCATCTTCATGTTCCTGCTGTGAGGGTGCGAATGCCGCGAGGGTGATTTTGGAACTCTTGGTTGACTACGAAAGGATAATGCGCATGTTTGGTTTTTTTTATTGTTTCTTTTTTTTCTTTTCTTCTTTCTTTTTCGGATTTGATTAGAGGAAAGGTTGATGTGAGATGAGGGAAAAATGACTGCTTTGCCAGGGCAACTGGCGGGAATTCGCCCTCCCCCAAGCTTGTAGGGACGTTTCCCGGGCCCTTTTCTCAAAGCTAAATTTAGAGAGTAAACCCACTTTGTTCGCCGAATCTGGATGGTTAGATAATATGGAAACTAGAGACTAACCGAGGATCAATAAATGGTATATGAGACAATCCTAAAGTAATCCGGAATTCCCCGTCTGTATCAAAGGACCAAAATTTCTCAAAGCACCAAGAATACATGTCAACTAGCCTGTTCGCTGTTGGTATGTATATTTTGTATCAAAAACAGAATAAAAGAAACTAGTACGCTCGCGCAGAAACATACACAAACCAAACCTGATTCTACCAAACGCCATACGATCCAACATAAGCCAGCCCCCGTGCGCCACAAGACATATCCCTCCCCTCTCCGCCGAGACACCTTTCCAGAAACCACCTGTAGCCCCAAAAAATCATCTTATACGTGACGACGTGGCTACCGGTCACGTACCTGAGTCGATCGAGCTTGTCTCGCCTTCCAACTATCTCGAATCGGGCCAGCAGCTCTATACAAATCTTTCTCTGAGACACGATCGTTGATACTCTCTAGGACACTGACCACTGTGCTCTTGTGATTCGCTTCATGCTTGTCATCTCTGAAACGAAGCAGTCGCCAACGCCCTTGATCATCCTGATTACACTCGATGATGCGTTCGTTCAGGGGATCGTTCAGACTCTTTAGAGTCTCCCATTCGTCCTCGGTCAAGTACAGGTCGTCAAAGAGCTCGTATTTATCACCACTGTCGCCCAGAAAGATCAGAAGCTCCGACTTTGGGACGCTGTCATAGTCGATAAACGGCTCTGTGATGCCCTCTTTTCTCTCCCACTCATCCGGCTCGACTAGGGGAAACGTCAGTTTGAGCCGGAAATCAATCGTGTTTTCCTCTGGAGGCTTCCACTTAAGGATGTGAGGGTCCGTGCCGTGTTTGTACGCCGTATTGCGACATGTGAATATCAGCCCATCATTGCCGTGCTTTAGGCTTGGAAGGACCTGCTTGAACATCATCTCAATTCCGTAAGCCAGCTGGAACGGCTTCATCTCGACAAAGAATGGCTGAAATCTCAGCTCATCGGGGTACTCCTTGAAGAGCTTTTTGTAGGGTGTATACAGCCTCTCCTTGAAGTATGCCAGTCGTTTATCGAGGGTTCTGTCCATAAGCTTGTTCCCATCCATGACGAGGCAGTCAAACACGAGGAAGCGCGGTTCTTTCTTTCCATTGGGGAGGCTGTCCCAGACGAGTTCGCCATCTACGAGGGTGTCTCGATGGAAAGCTTGCGTGTTGTTTTCAAGTGGGAAATGTAGGTTTCTGTTGGTGATGAACCAGTAATCGTTTTTGCGGTCTATGAGGTAGTGCGCTTCGCAGGCTTCTTCATCCGAGGTGGAGTAGAGCAAGTATCGAATGCCGTCTGATTTTTCGCAGACATAGTAGCTAGATCATCGAAGTTAGTGCATGCGATCGAATGGTCTATGGCCCTTTGGATGGCAGGGATCGCACTCTTGTTTTTGAAGTTCGTCGAGATGCTGTCTCGCGAAACTAACAGGCTGAGCCCCAGGAAACCCCGTCTGGTGCCTACCCAGCAGTTCGGCCACTTCCTTTCTCATAGAGTAAAGAAGAGGTCCTGAAGCTTTCACACCAGGTTCCGCTATCGATTGGATCGGCCCATCAGCCGGCTGCTCCATGGTTGCTGATGTTCGTGTGGTTGGCGCAAAAGGTGGTGTGTGGCTTTGTTGAGGGATAGTTGGCCAAGAGGTGCCAAATGACAACCTAAGCAGCGCGGCAGAGTCAATTGCTTCGATCACGTAAGCAAAAAATGATTCAAGTAAGGTCTGTGAACTGTCCCATGACGCTGCATAGAAATATGCACTCTGCCGATAGCTGTGCTCACCATGTAGAGATAGAGTGAGGAGGGAGTTCTGTTTGTGGTCGCGTCTGTGAACCTTGGGGGTGAGTGCTTGGCTCGTGAGCTTATCGATAAGCACCAGCTGTGGTTTGGAACCTTGAAAGAGCAACCGAAAGAAAGAGCATGTTTACTAATCGCCAAATACGCTCTAGAATACTATGAAATATGTTACATGTTGAGCATTGCGCGACGTGCGGGTGCAGGTGATTGAAATGAAGAATGCTTTGTCCCCGGAAAATGCAGGAACATACATAATTGAATGCATCAACCTTGCGTCACCTTTCCACATATTAAGCGTCTATTTCGCTAAGCTACTCAGAAAATATGTTATCGGCTAGATACCTAGGTAGGTACCTATATACGTAATCATTGAATGACGTGAATTTACATCTACATTAAACTCCTCTGCTTCTACCTCAGAAGGAGTCGGCTGTGCCAGAGCGGTTACTACTTTCCATTTCAATGTGTATGGGCCAAGAGCAGCTAATTTTCGTCTATCTTGTCAACTTCTGCTCGTGCCTCTTCCCATTGTTGTTTACTTTTCTTAGCCCATTCGATTTGGCTCTTTGCATAGGCAAGCTGATGGGTGAAGGTTAGCATTTGTTGCATACGTAATTTTTAACACGATTTGCACATACCATGTATCGCTTGAGATCATCTTCCTTATCTCTCTGGAATCTCTTAAGGTCTTGCAATACACTAGCGCTGGCCTCTTTAACGTCCAGTTCTGAAGCTACTTGAGCCTGCTCTAGTTGACCAATCGATTCTCGGGTTTTACCAATAGTATCGCGTCGGGTCCGCTCAGGATCTACATCTGCAACGCCCTGTATAGCGTGGCGGAGAGGACCGAAGATTTTGTTTGTAATGGAGTTGCTGCTAGGCGCCTTCTTATGGGACACACTAGCACTTCGCTCGGGAAGGCCCTGACTGGCGGATGGCGTTGATGAGGAGAAATCTCCATGGGTCGGAGGAAAATCCGAGTCGATAGATTCGGTGTCGTCTTGTCCCGTATCGCGCCTATGCTGAGATGACGGCTCCTTTAGGCTCGTTGATCGTTTAGGCGGAGGAGATAATTGCTGGCTGCTGGACAGGTATTGTTCAATCCGCCTCGCTTCCGCTTCACTTTGTTCCAGCTGCTCCAACAGTCCCTTTTTCTTAGCCAGTTCTTCTGTCGTGAGATCTTGCTGCACTCTTTTCAGTACTCTGTATCTGAGCACGCTCTTGACGACACCCGCAAATTGGGCATTTTCTCTCATTGGCTCAGCAAAGCTTGCGCCAAGTGACCCGGCTAATTCTTCAGTGGCAATATACGACAAGTCAGCCGCCTGGCCGACTCGCTCAATAGCCGGACCTAGCGAGGGAGCCTGCTCCGACAACGCAAATGCATTGTAACGCGAACCTAGCTCGCAAAGATCTGCCGCAAGGGATGAAAGATGTGAAAGGGTTCGACGATTGACTTTCTCCATGGGTCCCATGAGAAGCTGCTCGAGTTCCTTGATAGAGGCCTCGTAGGATATGAAGTAAGGATCTAGGTCGTGCTCGCTCTGCGTAGTAGAATCTGGAGGGAAACGGCCTATGACATGTGTCCCAGTCTGGGGTACTGAGGGATTGATGTCATAGGTAGTTCCGGCTGTTGTCTTGAGCTTGGCTGAGGTGGAAGGGACAGGGAGGAAATTATGTGCCGGGGTTGGGTTCGCTGTATCCAACGGCGGAGCCTTGAGAATAGCCTTGGGAATGGAAGCCACTGGATGTGAGTGTAGAACCTCGCTCTATGGATGAGATTAGTTACATCGAGGCAGATGCGGGAGTATTGAGCACTTCATACCCAGCTGGCATTGGGGTCGAGAAACCTCCACCAAACACCGTCGTCACGGATTGCTTCCATGCGGCGACAGCGGTTCAAGAAGACTGCTAACATTCGCTTTCGAAGGTCGATTATTTGCTGATCCTGCTTGGCGCTGGTTGGTTTGGCGGCGTAGTCTGCCATGGTGTGCTTTTCAGGAATTGGTGGGATAATGAGAGTGGGGTGCAGCCGAGTAAGAGCGTCTCTCAGTGACGCGAATTCGGAGTAACGTCGTCTAACTTCTAGATCCTATGGTTTTTTTCTTCACGTCAGTCTAACTCTAGGTTCGGTCCGTAGCTTGCTATAACGCAGTCGTACCCCGGTTCGGATAGTGTAGACTATGTATCGACCTCCGCTTTCCAGACTCTTCCCAGCATCAGTGATTAAGATGGGCATGTTTGGGTTTTCGTAAAGGATTTGTTCGATGCGGCTTGTATAGCCCCCAGGCTTTCTCTTCTGAACGGGCTCGTCTTGAGGCGCTCCATGGTCATGACTCTCGTGCCGGGGGACGGCAGTTGCTTGGCTAAACATTGGCTCATCGTCCTCGCTGCCAGATGTTGGAGTTCGGGGAGCGTCGAAGGATCGGTCTAAGGTAAATTTGGTAAGCAAGAATGTAGGAAAATGCGCGATATGCATTGGCGATGCTTGTCGAGAGGGCCATGAAATTGTCGTCCCAAGTTGGAACAAGCTCGGTTGTACTTACAGTCTCGAGAGGATGGCGACGTTGGATTTATGGACGATGACGTCTGTGAGTCGCGGCGGTCGAAGCTGGTCCCATATGGGTTGTTATCCTCGTCATTCCACATGATGACTAGGCTCCGATGCAATTTCTGTGTTGAGGCAGCAGGTGAGGCAGTAGGGCACTCGAGAAGGCGGCGCGGTCGAATGGTGACAAGCTGCAAACTGCAGCAAGTAGGAAGGAGCTCCGAGCAAGTGAACCGGCAGTCGCGGGGAACTCTACACGGTGGGTACGTCGCAGTTGGTGGAGCGAGGCTGGGAGGGCTGGCTAGTGCTTGCAAAACGTGTTACAGCGTCTCGCCATTCTTTGGATACAAATCCAGGGTTGAAGCGAAAGAACAGGACCAACGCGATGGAGATGATGGAGATGATGAGGCGCAGTGTGAGGGCAGCGTGGGGTGTCTGGAATTCGGACCAGTTGACTCGTCACTACCGGATCTGGGTGCGCCAGCTCTGGAAGTTCAGAGCTGGCAAAAGAGGTACAACGGATCAACTTGGGGTAGGAGGAGATTGAATACCAGCTGTTCTACAACGTGAATATGGAGAACAAAGTATATACATGTACCTGCCTTCCAGAGAGGCGCCTTCTTGTGCGGCGCCTGTTTTGAGGACAGCACAGTTGTCACAAGACAGGCCTTCAATTATCACAGGCTGATATTTGGGAGTCAAGGCAGGTAGTATAGTTGAATGACGATCTTGACAAGCCGTCTTTTCATACTAAGTACTAAGTAGCTAATGAAGTAGTACGTGACAGTCAACAAAGTACCCCTTGGCATCTTGGGGAGACAGGTAAGGGCACAGGTACCACGAACGGAGTACTCCAAGGTACTTCAATGCTCAAACAGCGATGACGAAGGTCGTGCACGGACCATAATCGTCACCACCAAGCAGTACCTCGTAGGTAAGAAGCTCCGTGCCTGGCAACCGGCACACGTCTTCATCAATCGACAGTTGGAGTGAGAACCACCACACCGCTTGCTCGACTGAGGGCTACAGTCGCATCTTTGACAGCATACTACTTTGATGAATAGTTTTCAAGGTTAACAGTCACGCTAACCGTGTAGTCTGTGGTCTTCTGGGCCGCCCCAGGGCTTAAAAATGGAAAAATAGGATAAACTATACCTATACCGTCTTCACTCTTGGTCTGGCATGCTTCAATGAGGTGCTATCATTACACTCGTCAGGATGCCTCAATATCTACTCAACCGTTTCTTCTCAGCAAGCCTACGTATACAGCCGCCCGTGCCCGATGTTAGCCGCTTAATACGGGCTGTTACTCTTCATCCCGTACGACGAATACCATGTCTCTCGTAGCGTCAAAACCTCATGATAGAAACGCGGAAAAAGACGCCCAATGTGGCATACCCTCTACTCATTGACAGCGTCCAATGCCTGGTTTTGCGCTTGAGAAGACGAGGATGCCACATTGTCGTGACATGGATGACCTGCGTCGTGCTTGGCTTTACCTCGTCCTGTTTATATAAAAAATTCGCATCAGTATTTCTAGCAACCTGCTCGCCGACTCGCCAAAATCATACCTGGCTGACCACCGTACGAAGACGCGGGGCTTATTATTTGAAAATCATCGCTGTATACTGTTGCTGCGTTTGATCTGATAGATGCCGCTTCCGCATTCCCTGAACAACGCTCTTGCTTCTTCTCTTTTCCATGTCGGTTATGTTTCTTCGTTTTTCTTCTTGTGCTGAAGCTTTGAGTTGAATCATTGATGCCTCTTCTGGATGCGGATCGGCGATGGCGAGCACTGACCGGGCTCGCATCACCTGAATCGGTTTGGATTGTTGATGCCCTTCCCACCGGAACCCGTAGCATCTGATGCAATCGACGACGCCAACCTGGAGACTGTGAATGGACCATATCTACTGTAAAGGGGTCTCTTGTCTGGTGGCATGGTTGTTGTGTTTGCGGAGCTAACCCCCCAGCCAATGTAGTCTGCCGGTATCTAGCTGCATGCTGGCTTGGGCAGCGTTGATATGTGGACGGCACCAAAGGCATGCCGTGATACAAGACGAGAGGCGGCATGTAAGGTTGAGCCAGCGGAGGCATGAAATTGGGCGCTTGGTCATCGGCCATCGCTTGCCATGCCATGAGTTGGTTTGGTGCTGTCGACATCTGAGCTGAGGTGCTTGACGCAAGTCCATGACTGCCACTATAAGCATTTTTATATTTCGAATATTCTTTTGCTTGCATTTTCTTGTTAGCCACACAAGCACGGCCCAACGAGTACATGTAGACCAGCGAGATGACGAGAAATAGAACGATTGCACTGAAGATAACCCCAAACCGTTGGGCAGTTGTTAGGCATTGCCACCCTGTGCACCCTGCGGCGCGTGATAGGAGGGAATGTGGTGTTGCCGGCGTATTTGGATAACGCATTTTAATGTCAGGGGACGGGCAAGAAAGAGTTTGTGTGATTATAGTCCTTTGGCTGGGGTTGCCAAGTTGAGAGTCACATATAAGGTGAGCAAGTCACGCCCAAAAAATTGATCTGAGCGGCTGGCCGGCAATTGATTCACTGCCTTTGCTTCGCCCCCCGGATCGTAGATTTTACTACCATCATTCATCATCCATCACTCGTGGTTCGTCATCATCCTGTTCACCTTCGCATTAATAAAGCATCACCTGGCCCTCAAACCGGGTGAAAAGAGGACAACTGTACGTGAGAGACCGGTGTAACAAAGAATTGGAGGAGCTAGGCATAATACTTCGATTTTTGAACAACCCGTATGCTCCAACTTGATATTCTGCATTGCAACGATGACTGTCTGCTGCGCTTGCCATCTTTTCTGCCTTGTCAGCGGCTATACCAGAACCCCCCATCCCACGACTGGGAGGACTGTTGATGCGCACGAATAAGGATAACGTTAGGCAGAAATACAATTGACTAAATAAACATCTTCGAGCTCATCAGCCGGCTCTTCGTCTTCCATTGCCTCAACCAAGGTGAGCGCTGTGATGGGACGCCTTGCTAATGGAAGATGAACCGAGAGGTCCGAGACAGACCATCGCGGGAACTTGAGACTGGACAATCGACAGCCATCGGGGGACAGTTATACCGCCCACAATCATACGACAACCTTGCCAGTCTCTCTCATGCCTCAGTTCTCAATATTGAAAATACAGTAACAGTCCTCAGGGTCAAGTTGCGAACCGCATTTATCTGACTGGGGTGGTCGTGCACGGGCCACTTTTTTTTTGAGCGCCACTTCTTTGTGCGGATTGCCATTCTCATCTCCTCCAGCCAGCCAAGTGACAGACAACCTATCTCGCGAGGTCATTTCTTTCTTGTCGCCAGCTATTGGCATTCAATATCGGGGTTTTCTGGCTATGATTTCTGACTACTAAGGTGACTGATGTTCTGCGCATCTCATTCTGCCGAGACGCGCAACTAGCTGACCGGAGACGCGTTTGTGCCTACTTCCTCCCTCCCATCCTCGTCCTCTCATCGGATATCTTCAGCGACCCTAGCCAAGATGGCAGCCATGGCCAATGGAACCGCGAATGGCGTGACCAACGGCGATCAACTGGTTAGGCCTGTCAGCACTCGATTTTCTGACATCCCTTCCGCAATCGATATTCCAGTTCAAGGAGATCAGGAAGATGAAGCTGTCGAAATTGATCTCGAAGACCTCTTGGACGACCCTACCGAACTTTGCACCCTATTCGAGAACGAACGAGCCGCTAAAACCTACTGGATGACGGTTGCGCTCGCGTATGCAAAGCAGAAAAAGATTGACCATGCCATTGAAATGCTTATCCGTGGCAGCGGCGCCATCCAAAGCAGCAACCCACGCGATAAGGTCAGCATGATTTGCTGCTTGTGCTGGATGTATCTATGGAAGAGTCGCGAAGCACCACGTGTTGCGCCAGACGGGGTGCGAGTTTCCGAAGCGAAGACGAAAGAATATTATCTCCAGCTGGCCACTTCATCACTGAACGACGCTGCCCGGCTGAACCCCTCGTTTCCGCCCATTTTCCTTGCCCGTGGCGTCCTATTGCTCTTGCGAGCATCGTTGCAGGCCCCCTCAAAGACGGCCGGAGGAATCGGGTCTGAGAAGAATGAATTGCTGAAGACGGCAGTCAAATCTTTTGATGATGCGCTTCGAGTATCCCAAGGCAAGAATATGCTTGCTCTCATGGGCAAGGCAAGAGCCTACTTCTCTATGCACAAGTATCCCGATGCTTTGGCAACATACCAGGATGTTCTTCACAAGATGCCTGATTTGGTAGACCCTGATCCCCGAATCGGCATTGGGTGCTGCTTCTGGCAACTGGGATTCAAGGAGGACGCCAAGGTGGCATGGGAGCGAAGCTTAGAAATCAATCCCGATTCTAAAATTGCCAACATCTTGCTCGGTCTCTTCTACCTCGACGCCAGCGGTCATGTGCCAGTTAACAGCGATGATTTCTTAAAACTATACAGAAAGGCAATGACGGAGTATACGCAGAAGTCATTCAAGTTGGATAAGGAGGTCCCCATCACTTGTTCTACCTTTGCTGGATACTTTCTGTCAAGAAAGGCATGGGAGAATGCAGAAAAACTGGCGCACAAGGCCATCCAGTACACGGATGTCAACGCCATTGCCAGTGATGGCTGGTACCTGCTCGCCAGAAAAGCCCATTACAATGACGATACGGAAAAAGCTAGCGACTATTACCGTCGTGCCGATGATGCACGCGGAGGTGCGGACACAGGGTACCTACCAGCCAAGTTTGGTGTTGCTCAATTGTCTGTCCTGAAGAACGATCTCGGGGAAGCCAAGCTTCGTCTGGAGAAGATGATTCAGCAATCGAAGAACCACGAAGCGATGATCTTGCTGGGAACACTTTACGCTGAAGAAATCTTTGCAGGTCAGAAGAGTGATAGCAAAGAAGACAAGTCTGCCGAGATGAAGAAGGCCATCACACTCCTAGAGAGTGTTCGGAATGCCTGGAAGGACCCCAAGCGGACGATTGCCCCGGATGCCTCCGTGTTATTGAACCTGGCGCGGTTATACGAACTGGATCAACCCGAGAAGGCGCTGCAGTGTCTCCAGCAGGTCGAGCAGCTTGAATTAGACCAGATACCAAAATCAGAGCGACCTACAGATGCAGAGAATGAAGCAGCGGCACAAGTGGAAATGAGAAAGTTCCTTCCACCCCAGCTTCTGAACAACATTGGCTGCTTTCATTCTCAAGCTGAGAAGCACGAGCTGGCTAGCGAGATGTTTGAGGCCGCCCTAAGCGCATGTATGAGAATTGGCGAAAAGGAACCCGGTATGGATACGGACGCATTGGTTTCGAGCATCAGCTTCAACCTCGGCAGAAGCTACGAGTCTAGGGGATTAACGGATAAGGCAATGGAGGTTTACGAAGGCCTGCTGGCCCGCCACGATGATTACACGGATGCTCGCACCAGATTGGCGTATATCAAACTGCGAAAGAACCCTAATAAGGAAGGCCCAGATGCAGTCGCCAAGTTGTACCAGGAGAACACTAGTGACTTGGAAGTTCGAGCTCTGTACGGTTGGTACCTCGGCAAGGTGCACTCCAGAAAACGACCAGCCAACATCGTGGAAGACCCTGAATTCCGCCATTACAAGCACACCTTGCAGAACTACGACAAGCATGACAAGTATGCTCTCATTGGCATGGGTAACCTGTATTTACTGCAAGCCAGGGAAATGCGGCGTGAGACGGAGTCTGATAAGCAGAAGCGAAGTGTTATTTATGGCAAGGCCGTAGAGTTCTTTGAGAAGGCCCTCTCACTAGACCCTAAGAACGCCTATGCTGCTCAGGGTGTTGCCATTGCTTTGGTGGAAGACAAAAAGGACTACAAGAGCGCTCTCACAATCTTCAATAAGGTTCGAGAGACAGTGAGAGAGCCTCACGTGTATGTCAATCTCGGCCATGTCTTTGCGGAACTGAGACAATACTCTAAAGCAATCGAGAATTACGAAATTGCTCTCACTAAGGACGGAAAAGCCAACGATCCGGTCATTTTGTCATGTCTAGGTCGTACATGGCTGAACAGAGGCCGCTCAGAGAGGGACATTGACGCCTACGGCAAGGCCCTCGAGTGCGCGCAACAGGTAAGCAGAAAAAACATCAACAAACGCAATCTTAGCTCTTCCACTAATGGCATTCAATCTAGGCTCTTGAGGTTGCACCGGACCAAGTGCACTACAAGTTCAACGTAGCTTTTGTGCAAATCCAACTCGTCACTACGATTCAAAACTTGCCCGAGAACAGAAGAACTGCCGAGCAACTTGAGACAGCCGCCGCGGGTCTCGAGTCTGCCATCGAATCACTAGACGCAATTGCCACACTCCCTCAAACTCCATACCCCAAACACGACATTGAACAACGTGCCAACATGGCCCGCAACACACTCCGCAAACAGCTCGAACGAGCCATTGCAAAACAAAAGGAATGGGAGGAGAAGAATAAAGAGAAGATCCAAGCTGCCAAGGAGCAACGTGAGGCCGAGCTCAAGCGCCGCGAGGAGCAACGCCAAGAAATCCTCGAAAAGGAGCGAGAGCGTCAAGAAAAGATCCGCAAGGAGCGAGAGGCCATCGCCATCCGAGATCGAGCCCTCGCCGAACAACGCGCCGAGGAGGAACGCCAGAAGCAGGAACTTGAAATGACCACGGACGCGGAGACGGGTGAAAAGGTGAAGAGGAAGAGCAAGGCGGCAGGGCGCACTGGTGAAGGAAGACCCAAGAAGACACCCAAGAAGAAGAAGGCAGCCCGTGACGAGGACGATTCAGAGGAGGAGTCGCATACCAAGAAACGGAGGCGTCTCACGAAGAAGGAGTCGTCGAAATTCAAGTCTGCAGAGATTGTTGTTGATAGCGACGACGAGCATGAAGATGATGACGATGCCCTGGAACGAGCGGAGAGGGAAATGGAGCGCGATGGAATGCCCGCGTCAGACGACGACGACGATCTCGCAGCTGATAAGATGGACGTCGATGAGGATGATGCGCCTGCTCGTAGCGGTGCTGAGGACGAAGACGAAGATACCGCTGCTCGACAGGCTAAGCGTTCGAGAAGAGGGCGAATAGTGGAGGAGAGTGAGGAGGAGGAATAGGAACTTCCTCATTCATGCAAAGGTTCATGTGTATTAGAATGTGTGATTTTGTATTCATTGACGGGAAGAAAGGGGGGGTATCTCTGGGACAAAAATGGTACAGTAGTGCCAGGTAGATTTTTCTCTATACGGCGATGCACACAGAAGCAAGAGACACAAATCTCTTGAATCCAAGTTTCAATTCATGTATGACTTTAGCATCGTAGTATCGCTCTCCCACATCCCACAAAGATATTTCGTTGAACAAGTACTCGCCGCTATCAGCACTCCGCTACGATTGCAGTGTACCCCTAGTTGGGAAGCACTGCAGATTCCCTAAACTCTCTACTCCCCCACCACTCTTAACTCTACATCATGGGATATAGATGTTTCAAAGATTTCACAACGGTTCTAGCTACAGCAAGTCTATCGTATTGGAAATAGAAAGGAGCAGGCAAGAATCAAGCATAGAAATAAAAGGGGCGATTCTTATTTCAAAAAAAGTTGCTCAGGAGCTCTTTGCGACTTGCTTTAGAAAGCAAAGACCTGGTCCTCGAGCTTGCTGACGGGACGGGCCTTCTTGTATCCCAGGCTCTCGGTGGTCTTCTTCAGGCCGCTAACCATGGGGGGAGGACCGCAGAGGAGAATCTTGACGTCGTCGGCGGGCTTAGGGAGCCATTTCTAATGATGAAGAGTTAGTTAGTACAATGACCGTAACACGCGCCGGCATGCCGAATGCACGTGGAGCAAAATAATACGCACGGTAATCATGTCACTGGTGACGTAGCCGACACCACCGGTCCAGCCCTCAGGAGGGTTGTCCAGGACGTAGTGGATGCGAATGCCGCTGTCCTCCTTTACCAGGGCGTCAAGGTCCTCTCTCAGGAGAATGTCCTGGGGCGTCACGTTGGCAAAGATCAGGTCGACCTGAGTCTTGTCGCCGTCGGCGCGGCCACGAATAATAGCACGGATGATCTGGAGCATAGGGGTGATTCCGGTGCCGCCAGCAATCATGCCGAAGTGGCGGACCATGTTGGGTGTGTAGACGAAGGCACCCTTGGGCCCACGGACGCGAATGGCCTGGCCAACCACCAGGGAAGCCATGTGCTTGGAGATGTTACCCTGGGGATAGGACTTGATCAAGAGATCAAAGTATCCGGGCTGGTGATCGCCGGAGATTGGGGTGTATGAGCGCACAATCTCCTTGGTTGTGCCATCTTGCTGCTTGAGAGGGGCGCCGATCGAGATGTGCTGACCGATGGGTAGGCCGAGAATAGACTTGGACGAAGGGAGCTTGAAACGGTAGCTGCAAAGATGAGAAGCAATGGATGTTAGTTTCATGGACGGTTGACGAGGACCATATGCCCCGTGGGGTGGGAAGCAAAGATGGCGAGACGATGGTGCTTACATGGCGACATTGTGAGAGATGACGGTCTTCTCCTGAAGCTCAAACTCCTGGAAAACATCTGGCTTGAGAACCTTCTTGATCTCTGCAGATGGGAGAGTCAGTCACACGCACGCTTTGACCCGAGACTTTTTGTTGAGGAGGCATGCATATGTCCACTCACGGAAGTTCCAGAAGTTGTAGGCGCCCAGCACCAGGGCCAGAGCAGCCGAGTACGGAACCCATTCCCTCTTGACAATCAGGGTCCCCGCGACGAGAAGGACGGCCGGGACATAGACATAGTCGATGTAGTGGCGCGACAGCAACGAGTCCTTGGTGTTGGAAGCCATGGTGCGTGGTCAATCTAAAGTCCTGTAGTTTGGAGATCCCCACCAGACAGCGATGGCCTGATTTGTATGTATGTTAGACGGCGAGTGATTCAACAAGGGGGGAAAGAGCCACAGCAAAGCAAAATCCAAAGGGGGGGCGCAAAGGAACCGCAGCAGCCAGTCTTGACAGTGCTGCTTGGCTCTGCAGCAATTGGGCTTGCGGGGGAGAAAAGCAAGAAGAATATGACTATCAATGGGGACGCAACAGCACTCACAAGTTCAAATCTGCAGGCTGAGATGATAACCCATCAGGTTGTGATGGCACTCGCGCGAAATTCGGAGATTCTAGCAAGGCCGTTGGCTGGGACGACAGGGCGGGCGGGACGCGGTGAATTTTTGCCGAACCTCATCATGACTGGACGCCCGATCCTCGGCAGAGCTGGGGGGCCATTGAGACACAGCAGCAGGCCTGGGAATACATTGGTGCCATTGCCACCAGCGCATTCAGGTACCTGGGCCTCTGGAAGGTGCGCCCTGTGGCTTCCGTAATGGGGCGGCCGACGGCGCTCTAGGCCGTCTCGAGTGCCCCGAAGCTCGGAACTTGATGGTCCAGTTCCGATCAGTTGACCGGACTAGACAGAGAGACACGTGCAATGCCAGCCCACAACGTTTCCACAACGTTCATGCTTCTGTGGCTGGTGTATGGGTGGCTGTGGCTGTATGCGTCCGCTGCATTGTGGCTGGTCCCGGTCATCCGGGGTAACAAAGATCCGACGCCTGGATCAAACAGACGTCATCTTGTCCTGCGGTTTGTTTTTAACCATCTGACCCTGTGACGGAAACAGTGGGTATGACTGCTCCGCGCTCCGTATCTTTGCAAGTGGGTTACGGACGGATGCAGCCAGCTTGCGCCAACAGCGACATATAATCCACCACGAGTAACTAGATCCCGTCCCGTCGAAATACTAGTGCTCCGGACTGAGGTCTAGGCTGGGTCCAGTGCAACAGCATTTGTTCTTGTGTGGCCGCGTACCAACAATGATGGGTTTGCACAGCCGATCAATATCAGCCATCATGTTGCAACTTGAACCAGAGGCTGAAGCTTCTTCACGAGCTAGGCGGAGTAACGCATATTAGTATCTGCCATCTCATCCGAGCCATCCGTACCATCTGTGCCATTGGCTCTTCCCTTGACGAGGACTGACGTGGATCTGATGTTAAAACGGCGATGAAGCTACTTTCCCATCATCCAAAGTCTCTATTTTCACACATGGCTTTCATGAGCCCGTATTGACAGATGCGAGGTTGAGAAGCTGCCCACCTCTTTGGCTGCAAGACGCATTACCCCAGCCTGACCCCAAGCCCACACACACGACTCGTATTAAATCTGTCAGACGTCCCTATCTACCTGTAACGCGCATGCTGCTGAAGACCAGTATCGCGCTTATACGGGTTCTGCGCCCCCCTATCGGTAAAGCCGCAGCACGTCACAGAATATCTGCCAATATCCTGCTCGTTCGGGTTATTGGGTGGATAAGGACGTAGATAACCCTCGTAGCATGCGATTGACGCTGTGACCATTGAGTAGTCGGCCCATTTGCCAAGGGCCAGATGAACTAACCATCACGAAGCGCATTTGCAATGTATAATAGTGCCTTTGCCAAGACACCAACGAGCCCCCAGGGTGGTATTTTCTACTTGGGCCTCAGTTCACGTTTTGGAATGGGCGGAATGACCGGTACGGTTATGTGAAGTGGTCCTGAACAGCCGGGGGGAAATAAAGAAGAAGAAAACCTGTAGTATGGCCCGAAACACCGGCCAGGAGCTGAAGTCCTGCGATATACTTTTGGTATCATCGGACCTCTGACCTCTAACCTGGCGGTCCCCTGCCCAGGAGTACTGCTCGGCATGTACATATGGTTCCTGGATAGTCGGCACGGCCATGGCCAAGCCTCACTGGCAGGTGCGTCACGACTCGCGTACTAAGTTAAGAAGCCATGTATGTATTGTGTTGTCTTGAAAAGTATACTGCACGGGGCGTCCTTTGTACAGAACAATTGAGCTGATACACACGTGTGGTGTTTCCGAGCTCTGGGGGTAAAACCTTCGCACTTGGTCGATTGTGGCGAGAGGCTCAGATTAGGGTTTGTCCCTTTGTCTCGTAACAGCAATGGTCCGGTGCTGGTCACGGACTTGTTCCAGGCAAGGCGCGGGCGGACGGTCTGACGGTCTCCTGGAATCTATTGTATGGAGCGGTCAGTGAGGCAATTGGACTTGACGGACAGAAAAACAATTTGATTTACTCCGTACAGAGTAGTATCATGGTTCTCTTCTTTATCCACAGTCTGTATGTATGCACCTTGGTGGGCAGGGCATGGGCTTCAACGAGCCATCTGCGTATGACATTCCCATCCACGGCGCCTGGTCGGGATGGGCATCATGATTGGTCCGGCGCTGCCATGCAAGGCTAAGCACAACTCGAGGCAGGTTTGAGGGAGAAAGAGAGCACTTGAGGGAGACGGGAGGGCCATGGAGGCTTCGGGTTTGGTCGCGGCCCGCTAATGACGCTCGCCGGGTCCACACAAGGTCAAGGGCCCATGTTTTGTTTAGCTTCCGTGAGAAGACGCCGGAAAAAGATGGCCCAGCACTCCGTAGTCGCCAAGTCGCTGCGGACATGGACATGGACATGCTGCCTGCTCGTCGATGGCAAATGGGTCATGGGCATCACGATCCCTGTCGAGCTGCTGTTGTCGAGCTGCTTGGCTTGGCCGCGCCCACTTTTCTTTCAATCCTGACCTTGCGCACCGTCCCATCCCATCCTCAATCTCCATCGCAGAAGCCACTGCAACACCCTTGTCCATGACGTGACGCTTGGTCGACTCCGTGTAATACATGCACATACATACATACGTATAATCGCTAGCAGTTATTAGTGCTTGTCGACGAGACTCGGGTGAGGCTGGGCAAGGACGCCAGCTGTCAGCTTGTTGTAGCTGTTTGGTGTCAATGTTCCATCTGGCTGGGCCTCAAAAGACTCCAGACTCCTGGAACCCCAAGGCTTGACTGAACCCCAGAGCCGGCTCCAAACAAGACTGGCCCTTGACCTGGTCCAAAAATATCGTATTCTCCCCTTTGCCATGCCATGCCGCCCTGTCCTGTGACGCATGCTGCTTGACGTCTGACGACAACCACCCCCCATTTTTGTTCTCGAGTTTCTGACGGTGGTGTCGACCTGGACTGCACACCAAACAGACCCTTTGTCCGTCTTCTTTCGTTTTCTCAACAACAAGCACCAGCGGTGCAAAGAA